CAATTGTTACATCCAGAGCAATTAGCCCTAAACAAACAGGAAAAATTTAGCAGGAGCTGGCTATGGGTCTCCTGGCTTAACAGGAAATTTCTTAGGGACTTTGGCCGAGAGATGTTTACAGCCTTTTGTTCCCAGAAGTTTTTTTACTTGTTAATGTAAGACCAAATGTTGAATTGCTGCCTTTTGGCAGAGAACTACTAATTTTATAAAAAATGTAATATTTGTATCATGCAGTGCCATTTGTCATCAAATTGGTTATTTAGTAATTGATCAATATTTGCAGTTTTACTTTTAAATGCGTATTTTAGCAATGGTAGAAGCTAGCCATAAACAAATGAGGAGAATCTAGCAGGAGTCAGCTAACGAGATTCCTGATTTTTCAGAAATCTGCCCCATGCCCGGACTTTTGTCAGACGACATGAGTAGCGCGGCTCCAATACATATGTGCACAATGTGCCTTAAAAAAAAAAAGACATGAATCACAGTGAAGATTTTCTTTTTTTTTAGAGATTTATTTATGCATACAAGAACTGGGGTACAGGCCAGAGGTGTGGGGGGTGAGAGGACTCACCAGAGACAGAGTGGGGAGCAGAATAGGCAGACTGAAATACACTGTTGAGGGGAGCAGCGGGAAAGTCAGGAGAAGTCTGCTGGGCAGTGTGGGTAGCTCCTGGCCGGGATCGAACACGTGGTGCAGTGGCTGCGGATAGCTTCATTGGTTGCGTCTTAACCCCTTGTGCCACCAGGGAGGCCTTCTGTAATATTTTTTTTTTTAAAGATTTATTTATTTATACAAGCACTGGGTACAGTCAGAAGCACAGGAGGGTGAGAGAATTCATCAGAGCCAGAGCGGGGAACAGAACAGGCAGACCGACGAAATACACTGCTGAGGGGAGCAGCGGGCGGCAGGAGAGGTGTGCACGCCATGTGGTACCCTCGCCCAGCGGCCGGCAATCGAACCTGCGTTGTGGAGGCTGCGGCGGCTGGCAGCTTCGCAACCCAGCGCTCAACCGCTGCGCCACTGGGGAGGCCCCCTTCTGTAATATTTCTAAAGATAAATTTACTAGGTCAAAAGGGAAGTGATTTTTATATTTTATAAATATAACCTAGTTTTCCACAGAAATGACTGAATATACTTCTGCTCTCAACTACATATGGTATTGTCACTGGTAACTCTGCTGCAAATATTTTCTCCATGTTGTCACTTTTAATTACAAAAATTTAGATTTTTTTTTTTTTGTTAAAATATGTAGCAATAAGGGGCTTCCCTGGTGCCACAAGGGATTAAGACGCAACCTATGAAGCAGTCCGCAGCCATCATAGCACGAATTCGATCCCGGCCGGCCAGGGAGCAACCCACATGGCATAGCAGACCTCTCCTGACTCTCCCGCTGCTCCCCTCAGCAGTGTATTTCAGTCAGTCTGCCTGTTCTGTTCCCCACTGTCTCTGGTGAATTCTCTCACCCCTCCCCCCTGCACCTCTGACCTATACCCTAATTCTTGTATGCATAAATAAATAAGTCTTCATAAAAAATAAAATATGTAGCAATAGGGCCTTCCTGGTGGCGCAGGGGTTAAAGACAGCACTATCAAGCAATTGGCAGCCACTGCAGCATGAGTTTGATCCCCGGCCAGCCAGGGAGCAACCCGCATGGCGCAGCAGACCTCCCCTGTCTCCCCGCTGCTCCCCTCAGCAGTGTATTTCAATAGATCTGCCTGTTCTGCTCCCCACTCTCTCTGATGAATCCTCTAACCCCCCACACCTCTGGCCTGTATAGTTCTTGTATGCATAAATAAAACAAATCTTTTAAAAAATGTAGCAATAAAATTATAAATAAAACTGTAAGATTTTATCTATATTTAAATGCACAGTTCAGTGGCATTAAGCATATTCACATTGTTGTGCACCATCCATATACATAACTTTTTAATTATCCCAAACTAAAGTTCTATATTGTTCTAAACAGTAACAACTTCATATAGAACGAATCCTACAATATTTGATCTTTTGTGTCTGGTTTGTTTACCTGAGCATAATGTCTTCAGGCTTCACCTGTGTTGCAGAATCTGTCAGAATTTCATTCTTCAAGGCTGAATAATATTCCATTGCATCTATACTATATTGTTTATTCTAATATGTCAATAGACACTTGGGTTGCTTCTACCTTTTGGCTATTGCAAATAATACTACTGTGCAGGTCCCTGCTTTCTAGAAGCAAATTTGCTAGATCATAAAGTAATTCTGTTACCTTATGGCTGCATCATTTTATATTCCTACCAGCAGTGCTGAAAACTTCAATTTCTCCACATTCAAAATTGCAGTTTTTGCTGTTGCTTGTATTTTTGTTAGTAGCCATTCTAGTGGATGTGAAATAGTCTTTCATTGTGGTTTTGATTTGCATTTCCCTACTAAATACTGATGTTGAATATGTTTTATTGCATTTATTGCCCATTTGTACATCTACTTTGGAGAAATGTCTATTCAAGTGTTTTGCTTATTTTTTAATTTGTTTATTCTTAGGTTGTAAGAGTACTTTTATATATTCTGTGTACAGATCCCTTATTCAGTTTTTTGCAAATACATTCCTGTGGTTTGCTTTTTCACTCTGTAGATAGTATGCTTTGATGTGCAAGGTTTTTTATTTTAATGAAGTCCAGTTTATTTTTTCTTTTGTTGCTTGTGGTTTTGGTATTATGTTCCAGAAATTGTTGCCAATTACAGTATCATTAAGCTTTTACAGTATGTTTTCCTCAAAGAGATTTCTGGTTTTAGTTCTTATGTTTATTTTTGGGTAATTTTGAATTACATTTTTATGCAGCACAAAGTAAGAAGAGTTTATATTCCTTTGTGACTTGTAGATTTCATGTACAAAGGGTCTCAACCCTATGATTTTAAGTTTATGCATTTCTATTTTTTTTTGTTTTTTAAAGATTTCTTTCTTTATATATACAAGCACTGGGTATAGTCAGAAGCGTGGAAGGGTGAGAGAATTCACCAGAGCCAGAGCGGGGAACAGAACAGGCAGACTGATGAAATACACTGGTGAGGGGAGCAATGGGCGCAGCAGGAGAGGTCTGTTGCGCCATGTGGGACCTTCTCCGGGGGCCGGGGGCCAGGGGCTGGGGATGGAACCGGAGCTACAGAGCCTGCGAGCAGCTTCTCAGCCCAGTGTTCAACCTCTGTGCCACCAGGGGAGGCCCTGCATTTCTATTTTTCAGTATGTAGTCTTCTAAGGAAAGATTTTTTTTTTTTTCTGTTCCTTATTTAGTTATCTTCTTAGGATTTAGATAACAACTCAAAACGAGGATTCTGTTGCATATGTCGGTTCAAGTTAGAAAGAGTACTACTATTTGTGTTATGTTGCATGCTATTTCAAGTTCACATTGTATATATTGCCCAAATAAATGTAAAGTATTTGAATGATATGCTGGTATTTCCTAGCACCTTTGGGATAGATCAGGGCTATTATAAATACTGAAAAAAACGGTAATTCCTAGGATACTTATTAAACATGTAAGCATTCTTAAGTTCTGGGCTTAAAGAATAAAATATAGTCTCTGTTCTTCATAGTTAATGGGGAAATATCAATAGGTATATAAAAAAATGATTAGAATAAAGTGCCGTTCTTTTGATTTGAAAAAGATCCTGAGAAAGACTTAGCAGGTTGCTGAGACAGGCAGATTTGCTACAGAAAATAACATTTAGGTTAAGTTTTGAAAAATGAATAAATAAAAGTATGCTAAGAAAAATAAACTGGAGGAGAGCACGATGAATTGCCTATGAGCAGGTATGAAAGAAAAACACACTTCTGGGGCAAGATAAGTTGGTACTGTAATATTAATTGTAAAGTAGATGAATAATAGGCTAGATGGAGGTATCTGTGGGTGATAAAACTGATAATTGGTGGGGTCAGAGCTGTGTATTTTATATTTCTACCAGTGTATAAACATGGCCTTCTTAGAGGTGCTTGTAATGAGCCACTTAGTGTAACCTCAAATTATATCTTCATATACTTTTTTAAGGTCAATTTTTATTTTATGTACTGCATGCATAACATATTGTTAGAGTAACATAATTTATAAAATAATACATGATTTGTAAGTGAAAAATAAGTATACTCAAAATTTTTTACTGATAGAATATTTGAATACAAAGCTCTAGAAGTCATTGTACAGGTTATGGAAAGGTATTATTTTATTTTATTTTATTTTAAATTTATTTATTTATGCATACAAGAGCTGCAGTACAGGCCAGAGATTGGGTGGGGGGGGTGATGGTGAGAGGATTCACCAGAGACAGAATGGGGAACAGAACAGGCAAACTGACCAAAATACACTGCTGAGGGGAGCAGCGGGCAAGACAGGAGAGGTCCGCTGCGCAATGTGGGTTGCACCCTGCCTGGCCGGGCATCGAACTCGTGCTGCAGAGGCTGCGGATTGCTTCATAGTATGGTGCTTAACCCCTTGCGCCACCAGTTCAAGTTAGAAAGAGTACTACTATTTGTGTTATGTTGCATGCTATTTCAAATTGTTAGTCTAGCTCACATTGTATATATTGCCCATATAAATGTTAAGTATTTGAATGATATACTGGTATTTCCTAGCACCTTTGGGATAGATCAGGGCTATTTAAATACTGAAAAAAACGGTAATTCCTAGGATACTTGTTAAGCATGTAAGCATTCTTAAGTTCTGGGCTTGAAGAATTAAATTATCAAATTATTTATTCTGTTCCCTGGTTTTTTCTTTTTAAATGATTTATAAAACAACTTCCTCTTGGGGATTCACTTGTCTATTTTTCCTTTCTCTTTTTATTATTTGGTGAAAGCACCGAGACTTAACCCCTAGGCTACCAAGGAGGCCCCTTTTCCCCATATTTGGAGTATAGGGTGAAACTTTTAGATTAATGAGCAGAAAAGGAAAAATCTTTGTAGTAGTAAACATAGAAATAACCATTGAGTATTTTAAGATGGACTTTTTCACTTTTTTGTTAAATACAGGGTATATTTACTTCTGGCACATGGGAAGAGAAATCAGATGAAATTTTCTTTGCTGACTTCAAGTTCTCAGTCACTCATCATTATCTTGTACAAGAATCCACTGATAAAGAAGGAAAGGATGAATTACTAGAAGGTAAGTTTTTCCTACATATTTTTAAACTTGACTTTTAAGAAGGATTATAAATCTTGAACTTCAAATTTAGTTCTCTTAAATTATATCATCTGGAGATGTTTTGCTTATGTAGAGTCTTGCCACATCTGAAAGTAGAGTATGATATTTTCAGAGGAAGTAGCACAGCATCATTTGTTTTAAAATTAGATAAATCAGCTAATATTTATTAAGTATTTATTTAAAATTAACTTTTGTTCTGTTAAGCCCACTTAACCCACAAGTCCACTTGACCCACAAGCCCACTTGTAATTTAAGACATTTACATTCCAGTAGGACAATAGGTTGAAAAGCAGTAATGATACTAGAAGGTAGAAATAAATACCATCCCCCAAAACATAAAGTTCTACTGAAATTAGAGGAGAAAAAATTATTTTTAATATGGAGAGATCAGAGAAAAGGTTTTGGATAATTAAGAAACATGTTGGACTTAAAAGAATTAAAAATAATATATATATATGTTTATTGAGCGATCAGTATATTATTTTGAATATATACCAGATTTTCTAGTCACATCGAATTTCTCCTTGCTAGTTACTTGACCTTTCGAGTTTGAATTATCTCATTTGTAAAAATGAAATAATGCTACCTGGAGTGTTATTGAGAAGATTTAATGAGATACTGTACTTGAGTGATTTAGTACCTGGCCTATTTAGTACCTGGCCTATTTAGTACCTCAGTAAGTGGTGTTTACATTAATTAATAGGTCAAATCATGCAAAATCTTTGTCCTGAGATACACTATTATATAACAGTATGTGAGCAAGTTACTGAAAAATTATGAATTTTGGAGTTGTGGGTCAGGTACTCCTCTTCATTTATTCAGAATATAAATATTTGTAATGTGTATTAAAGCTTTTCTGGTCAAAACAAATTATCATTTGTAAGTGTAGGCCTTGAGTGGAATTATGTTACCTTTTCTAGCATATATAGTCTTATAAACAAAACAGATTCTCATTTAGATTAATAAATTAGGGCAGGTAAGATAAACCATGTATACAAATATGGGGCACAATTATGCAGCAAAATAAAATAATTGAACCTGAATGTGAATATGTGTACTTAAAGAATAAGTGGAGAAGGGAAATGTGTACAATGGGTTAGAAGTGTGAAACAACCCAGAGATTTCTAGGTTTAACATTATGGTCAATGAAGGAAACTATTCAAGGTATAAAACTTTTAAATGCTATTAATTTGAGGAAAGGTCATATGTGTATGTACTATGCAGTTTCAGTTTGGTTGTGATTAAAATATATTAAATACAAATTTAATAAGCCATTACAACTATACAGTAAAGGGAAATATTTTAACAAGTATTATCTTTTGTGCTTTAAATTTGTTATGCATGTTTGTGTAAAAATAACAGTCATTGCTATTAGTATCTTACTATGAATAAGAATGCAGCTGCTTGTATATATGGATTATTGGTTTTATAAGAACATATGAGATGGTTAGAGTTCCAGTGAAGGGTAGCCATATTCGCCTCCAAGGTGATATGGAGGCACAGACCCTTACGTAGAATTTTGAAGAAAAGTAGGGGTAAGTTCAGGCCAGGAAGAACAGACATTAAACAAGACTTTCTAGTAAGAATGAGGAATTGTTTGAGTCATGACTTAGAAGATAGGAAAATATTATTAAATGTAGGAATAAGCTGTATGTATGTATATATTTTAATATACTGGCTTTTTTTTTTTTAAAAGACAGAATAGCCATCACTCTCTACCAAAATCTTAGAGCTAACCCTAAATGTAAATCTCTAAGCAATTGAAAAGTACATAGACTAGCAAAATATGATATATGATTTCTCTAAATCATATAAAATTCTGCCTCGGAATGAAAGAACAGAGTAACTTTTTCATTATCAAATGTTTTTGTAGATGCTATTCCACAATCTATGCAAGATTTGCTGTGTATGAACAATGACTTTCCTCCAAGAGCACATTGCCTAGTAAGATGGTAGGTATACATTTTATTCAGATTACTCTTAGTATGTGCATTGGGAGGGCCCAATGATGATGATTTGTGAGGCAGACACACAGGGCTCAGCATATAATTGTACTTAGGATTTATTATGTAGGATTTATTATGAAGACAGCATGCAATGCAAAACCAAGAATGGACAATTGTGCCAATGGCATGTACAAATGGATGTGCAAATGTTTGAGGATGTACAAATGTTTGAGTACTTTCCTAATGGAGTCACAGCACATAATTAACTTAGCAACAAAATATGACAATACATGTGCAATGTTGTCTCCTAGGTAAACTTGTTAGCGGTTCAGTTCCTAGAGGTTTTAATTGGGGTTTGGTCATGCAGGCACTTTCTGACTAGTACCAAAATTTCAAACTCAGCAGAAAAGCAGATGTTCAGCACAAACCACCTTGTACAGTTCAGGCACAGTAAATAATTTTAGTCAGGACAACTATGGGACAACCAAGTACGAAGTCATAGGAAATATGAAGTACATTACTTAGATATTTGTCTGATTTTGAGTTATATATACACATGTATTTTTATGTTTTAATGTGGGGTATTTTTTTGTAAATGGGTTTTAATACATACTGTTCTGATATATATTAGTATTTTTCAGCATTTCATGATAACATTTATGTCAGTAAATTCAGATATACCTTATTTTTGTAATGACTGTTCTGCAGTATGGTTGGGGTTGGGGGTACTGTAATTATTCACCCATTCAAGTGCTAAGGGATATTTAGGTTGTTGCTAGTTTTTCACATTTAAACTGATAATGAACATCATTGTACACATATCTTTGGGCACTTGTATGATGGTATAGCTATACTTAGTTCAATGTGAATTTTAAATATTGATAAATTCTGTCCTTTTGTCTTTCCAAATTGTTTAAAAGTTTATATTACCACCTGTGACTATCCAAGCTCTTGCCAAATACTGGATCTTATCAGTATTTTTTTTTTTTTGTCAATTTAATAGGAAAACAATGATACCTTGTTTTAAATTTTTGTTTTGCTACTCACTAGAAGGGTAAGCATTTTCTAATTAATGCATTCATATTTCTTATTCTTTAACTACATATTCGTTTTGCTCATTATGTTTAATTTTTTAATTATGGTAAAGCATGCATAAAATATACCATTATAAACGTTTTTAGGTGTACAGTTCAGTGGTTTTAAGTCCTTTCACATTTTGGTGCAGCCTTTACCACGATCCATCTCCAGAATTTTCTCATTGTCCCATGTTGAAACTACCTATTTAAGCAGTAGTTCTCTTTTCTCTCCTCCTCCATCTCCTGGTAACTACCATTCTTTCTATCGCTGTAGGTTTGACTATGCTAGCCCCTTATATGAATGGAATCATGCAATATTTATCCTTTTGTGACTTTCTTATTTCAGTTAGCAGAATGTCTTCTTTTTTAAGGCTGAATGATATTCCGTCACATGTATATGCCACATGTTGTTTTTCATTTCATCTACTGGAAGATATTTGGGCTGTTTCCAGTTTTGGGATATTATGGTTCATACTTCTGTGAAATAGCTGTTTTAGTATCTGTTGAGTCTCTGCTTTTAAGTCCTTGGGTACATACCCAAAAGTAGAATTGTTGGTCATTCTGTGTTTACATTTTTGAAGAACCACTGACTGTTTTCCATAGCAGCTCTACTGTTTTACATTCCCATCAGTATTGCTGAAGGATTCTAATTTCTCCATATCCTTGTTAACCCTTTCTTTTGCTTTGTTTTGTTGATTTATAACAGCCATTCTAATAGATGGGAAGTGATACCTTGTTATGATTTTTATATACATTTTCCTACTAATGATGTTGTCAACATTTTTTCATGTGCTTATTTTCCATTTGTATATCTTCTTTTAAAGGACTTTTATTCAAGTCCTTTGTTCATTAATCTGGTTGATTGCTTTTGTTATTGTTGATTATTGTTTGTTATTTTAAGCCTCCACTTAATAATGTTTGTTTACTTACTGAAGGTATTGTCTCATGCCTCAAGTAGTTCTCATAGGGAAAGTAAATCTGTGATTTATACTGATCTTTAAGAGTATGATAATAGGGCCTCCACAGTGGCGCAGTGGTTGAGCGCTGGGTTGTGAAGCTGCCCGCAGCCTCTGCAGCGCTGGTTCAATCCCCGGCTGATCCCCGGCCACCGGAGGAGGGTCCCACATGCCGGAGGAGGGTCCCACATGGCACGCAGACCTCTCCTGCCACCCGCTGCTCCCCTCAGCAGTGTACTTCGGTCCTTCTGCCTGCTCTGCTCCCCACTCTGGCTCTGGCGAATTCTCTCACCCTCCCGCACTTCTGACTGTACCCAGTGCTTGTATAAATAAATAAAAATAAATCTTAAAAAAAAAAAAGTCTTTAAAAAAAAAGAGTATGATAATAGGAAAAGTACATTAGAATTTAGAGAAGATAGCCTATTTGGCTGGGATAATGGATGGTAAATTATTTGAGGTAAATCTTCAAAAATGATCCATCAGGATTTGGATTATCAGTAATCACAATAAAGTGAAGGGAAGCAGTTCAGGAAGAGGAAACAAAGACATAGAGCATAGAATTTTATTGCAGATAAGTAGAAAACCTTTCAATTTGGCTTATTGTTTAACTGGCATAGTTTCTCTGTGTATGGAGGAGGCAGAGATGGTGTGTATTCTTTTATCCAGCAACTCAACTTCTAGGATTTTATCTAATAGGTATCCTTATAGAAATAGACATATGCAGTATTGTTATAACAGTTTAAAAATGGAAGCAAAGTAATGATGATAGAGGATTAGAAGGTACAGAAAGTATATATAATCTTTTTTGAGGACAGGGTGGATACATGGGGGACAAATGTTATTAATTCTGAGAGAATAGTGAAGCAACTGTTGATAGTGGTGTCATCCTTATATGGGGAATGAGCTGAGTGGAAAGGTTCACTTGTTTTCTTTCTTCCACAGACATTAAAAAAAGAAAAAAACAAACGTTTATAATTGTAAAGACCTTTAGAACTTAAAATTCTAAGTATTTGATGTTGCCTCTATTTTGATTTCATTGTAAGAGGGTAGAGGCATTGTGAGGAGATGAAATAAATACTTGTCATCTAAACAACAAACAGCTTATGGATTAGACTTTCAAATGTTCTAATCTTTCTTTATTGCTGCTTGGTGATTTCTTGAGAATGTTCATAAAAATAAGCATTCATAACACTTTACACATCCAAAAACTAATTTCGGATATTGACTAGCATCTTAAATTATTTTCCTTATTTAAAAAATTATTAAATAAAAATATATTGAGGAGTGAATAGTATAAGAATTTTCAGTAGGCAAGATTACCAACTTGATCTTACAATTTTTGTGAAGTTAGCTTCAAATTTGTGGTTTTTGAAGGACATGACAGCAACTTTTCATTCTTCTAAGATTTTACAGCAACAGAAAGACATTTCTGATAATTTGTCTAACATGTGTTGAGTGAATGAACATAATTCTTTGATTAGGATACTTACAGTAAACCAGGCTTTCGCTTTGAGACAACACAAGTATATCATGACTGATAATTATTTTCCTGACATTTAGGGATTCTGTCAAATTTTATTTTTCCACATGAATGAATTGGATTTAATTAAAGCAAGATTTCAATGCTGGCTTTCACCTTTTAGTTTGGAAACTTAAATTTTAAGGCAAAATTTTTATGTAATACTCTTTCCTTCATGTTTCCAGCAAATTTCTTCTAATTTTTAAAGAGTAGGGAGGTAATCGTAGGTGAATGATAGAAGTATTTCACTAAAGGGAGAAAATTCAGGTTGTAAGTTGAGTTGTCATTAAAAAAAGAAGAAAAAGAAACACCTGTAACGTTTAACATGTTAAACACTTGTTAAATTTCCCTCAGGGAAATTTTTCAAATAATGGATTTTTGTGTTCTACAATATTCCTAATTAATGGCATTGGTTCTTTTTTCAAGGTATGGACTACGAGAATTTGTGGTGATTGCTCCTGCTGCAAACAATGATGCTGTACTCAGTGAATCTAAGTGCAATCTACTTCTGAGTTCTGTGTCTATTGCTTTGGGAAATACTGGCTGGTAGGAGCACATTTTGAAACACTGGGTCAAATGAAAAACTTTTAAATTACAATTTGTGAATGAAAATTATTAGTAAATGTTAGCATTTTAAAAATTTAATTTAGGAATCTAGTACTTGTGCATTATTACTTTGGAATTTGGTATAAAAGGACAAACTCATTAGAGTGGGCTTACTGAAATCATCAATGAATATTTAAAACAAGGAGTAGATTGTATTACTGTGTGCTTTGCTTCCATCTGTTTATTTCAATTTTGTTACAAAATCTAATTTTAAAACTCAGGTGAATCAAGTTTATTGCTGCTCTGCACATGTCTACAAATCTGTGGACAATGAGGCTTGACTATAAATGTTCAAATAATAAAAGTAAAAAATACTTTATCACTAATGTTGGTCTAATTTGCATTGTTTAATACCTGTGAATCAAGTTTAATTATGACATTGGAAAGACTAATATGATGCAATTTTATAAGTTTTTGGAGTATTCCTTGTTTAATGATTTAAGTACTTGAGATTAAAATAATGGACGCATGAGAAATTTTTACATGTAGGAGATTCTTAATGGTTAGTGAATTCATAGTATTTTCCTGCTTAATTATATCTTACAGTCAGGTGCCACTATTTGTGCAAATTCATCACAAATGGCGAAGAACATATGTGGGAGAATGTCAGGGTCCTGGTGTTCGTACTGATTTTGAAATGGTTCATCTTCGAAAGGTGCCAAATCAGTATACTCATTTATCAGGTCTTCTGGATATCTTCAAATCAAAGATTGTAAGTTCATATTGATATGTGTCTGTCTTATTCAGGATTCAGATTAAAAAGTACCAATTTGGTAATTTTATTGAGCATGTCAAAACATTTTTCTGGAATACTGATAATGTAACTGCTTAGAAGAAAGATAAAATTGACTAAGTAAATTACTATGTATGTTTAAAGAGAATATCCAATTAGACTTTTAGTGTACTAACGCTAGGAAACAACTAATTAAACTGATTTTTGTTCAGTTTATCACCATTTGTGTACTGTTACCTCTCTCTACTTTTCCTGTAGTAGTAATACTGCCAGACTTCCCCGTTAAGTGAACTTCAGATAGTGAATGTTTGCGACTTTCAGTACAAGTTCTTTGTGGTTTGGATTCTTTTTTTTCTGAATTGCCTCCCCCTTTCCAGTGTTCATCAGTTTGATTTTTAAGATTAATCAGTATGTATTCTATGACTGAGTGCACCGTGGTTAAGTGGGATATACTCAATATATTCTTGGTGTGCTATGAAAACACTCTCACAGAGTTAGGAAGGACTTGCCTAAGCCACTCTGGAGGTAGGGTGAAAGGAGTATAAGTTGAACTATTTGGAAGTACCTCTAGAAAAGAGAACAAAGATATAAGCAAGTGGTAGAAAGATCCTCCACTGAGAGAAATTATTACCCTTAAGTATTTAAGGTGACACCCATCCCTCTGAAGTGACAAACTCAAAAATGATGTCAGGTCTCTCCTAATATTGAACATCACCACTTGCTAAAATTGTTTAACATAAGTCAAAACCTAAGGAAATAATCACATATTTCCAAAATAAACTTTAAATTGTAAATTAACTGCTCTAGACTCTTCTAAAATGTCACTATGATAAAGGCAACACAAAGACTAGTTTAAAAGAGAGTAAAAGGGCCATAACTCTTTTTGTAGTTTGTATACTTGTCTCTTTTTTTTTCGCATTTGGGGGACAGTTTGTTTACAGCTTATTTTGAATGAGGATTGTCTTTAAATTTTTCAAATTTCTCTTCCGTCTTCTGTATCTATGATTTGTTATTTTGGGGTTGCTCCCTACTTGGAGAATATTTCAGAACTAGGTCTTAAAATGGTCTTTGAGGTGTCTTGCTCAGTGGTGATATTGGGATATTGCATAACTAGTCTTAGAATCATTGCATTGCGAGCTCAGGTCAGGAGTGTGGGATTTATTCCCCTTACACAGTAACTCTCCTACCCCATAGCTTCGAACAAAACTACTTGTACAAGTAGGAGTGTTCAGCCCCATTGTGAACTGCAGGCTACCCTAAGCTGAGAGTTTTTAGTGTCCTTACTCTGGGCAGAATACTTTTGGTTCCATTTGATTTAGTCTGTCACTGCTTTCTTTTGCACCTGGGGTTAGGCAGCAACCCCCCGCCTATCTATTACAGCAACCCCCCACCTATCAATCCTTTTCTAGGGCTCACAAAGATACTTACATCATGTTTGATCTTAGCTATTTCTTTTTGGTTATCTCTTTCTATATTTATCTATCTTATTATGTGACTGAAGCAGTGATTATATATCAAAGTGACATTGTTATTGTGTAGTTGCTATTACTAAGCCATATACCTCATTTGTTTTTAAGATTGACTTATTTATGCATATAAGAATTGGGGTACTTGGGCCTCCCCGGTGGCGCAGCGGTTGAGCGCTGGGTTGCAAAGCTGCCTGCGGCCTCTGTGGCGCCGGTTCGATCCCCGGCTGCTCCCCTTCCACCGGAGGAGGGTCCCACATGGCGCGCAGACCTCTCCTGCCGCCTGCTGCTCCCCTCAGCAGTGTACTTCGGTCCTTCTGCCTGCTCTGCTCCCCGCTCTGGCTCTGGTGAATTCTCTCACCCTCCCGCGCTTCTGACTGTACCCAGTGCATGTATAAACCAAACAAACAAATAAATAAATAAATAAATAAATAAATAAAAACATGCCTCTATTAAAAAAAAAAAAAAGAGAGAGAAAATATCTCCCAAAAAAAAAAAAAAAAAAAAAAAGAATTGGGGTACAGGCCAGAGGTGTGGGGGGTGAGAGGATTCACCAGAGCCACAGTGGGGAACAGAACAGGCAGATCAACTGAAATACACTGCCAAGGGGAACAGCAAACAAGACAGGAGAGGTCTGCTGCGCCATGTGGGTAGCTCCCTGGCCGGGGATTGAACTTGTGCTGCAGTGGCTGCAGATAGCTTTATAGGTTGCATCTTAACCCCTTGCGCCACCAGGGAGGCCCTTTATATCTCTTATTTCTGACCAGCAGTATCAGAAATATCTGAAAACTGGTTAGATGTGCAGAATGTTATTTAATGTATATTTTTAGCTGCCTAGGTGCTTTCTAGTCATATTTAACTCCTTTTCTACATTAATGTGTATTAACCAAAGGAGGGTGAGCTCATAAGGATGTTTGGATGATAGTATTAATTTTTATGACTTTAATGAATGTTAAGTTAAATCTAAGTTTTCTGCTGTTAACTGTATTAATATAATTTGTGTTGTATGAGTGACTATTTGCTTTAGTCTGAAATTCTGGTTAAATGTTCAAGACTGGTTTTATCTATCTGAGTTTATTTTCATTTAAAAGAAAAGACATCGGGGATGGGGGGTGGGGAGGGGGGGATTGGGGTCAAAATAAGGGGGTTGCAATTGTATGGGGAATATAAAAATTAAATTTATTTTAAAAAAAGAAAAGACATCATCTCCCCAAACTAGTTGTACCCTTTATAATAGTAACCTTACTTTAAAAAAGTGAATCACATTTTTTTCATATTCAGTGTGCCTGACAATAGTAAATTATATTTGTATTATTAAAATTGTATATATTTTGAAAGAGCACTTTGCTTAATAGAATTTAATAACCCATTTCCAGATAGTAGTTTACACAGCTTTATTTTGATTTAATTTGCTCTCTGGCATTTTTTAAATGAATTTTTATAAAGCTACACATCTCTTTTAGAAAATGAAAACTTTTGTGAAACCAGTTTGCAAAAATTGTGGATGGAAATCCCTTGTACACACAAATGTGCACACAAATACACTGATTCCTTACATTTTATTTTTTCCATATTTCAAAAGCAGATCTAAGGTATGCCAGTATTACTCCTTTTTATAGAATCTTCCTTCTTGATTACCCCTGATTCATCTCAAGCTTTTAGGCTGTCAGAATGTCTCTCATGAAAATGATTTCCCTAATTTGTACTTTTGTCTCTAATAATTTCATTAACTTAGTTTTCCTTTTTAATGACTGTATTTAGATACTATTACCCTACCTCTATTATCTTAAAATCTTATATTGTAAATGTACTAATGTTTCATCCTAATAGTTTGAAATTTTGTTGTTGAATTTATAGAGAACAAGGGTGTTAGCATTTACATGGTATTGATTTTGCATTTATTTCCTAGGGATGTCCTTTAACTCCGTTGCCTCCAGTTAGTATTGCTATTCGATTTACCTATGTACTTCAGGATTGGCAGCAATATTTTTGGCCTCAGCAACCTCCAGGTGAGATAATTTAAAACTATATATATTAGTGAATAGAAACTTACTGATAAGAATTCAAGAACCAGAATCTTAGCATTATAATTCAGTGAAAACTGTTTATATGGTTATAGTCTAGCAATTTTTAACCTACTAATTTATGAAGTGCCCTTATGAATTTTTAATCTCTTAACAATTCATATCATGTATTAGAGCTTGTCATTCTGATATTTGTTGTAAGCATTCTTTAGTTGGAGAATGGAATGAATTGACTTTGAATATTTACTGACTCAATTAATTGAGCCATTTTTAATAACTAATTTTAATAATTTAGTATATAGATAATTGTCACACATGATTTTATCAAATCTGGGGAGTGTTCATAACTCAACTATAGACTTTAATTTTAGGAATTCTAGTATAGTGTGGATAATTGAAAACAATCCTTTGTATTATCTGAAAGATAAATAAATCCTTTTGATGTCTTTTATAAGTGTTTATTACTTCCTCAAAAGGGATGGAACTAAGGGGGGTGATTTACCTTCTAAATTTTCCTCTAATCTCAGATACCATTCATAATGGAAAGGAAATTCTTTCATGAACTTTAAATATTTCCATGTGCCATCAACTGAAACATAATTTTATTAATGATGACTCATATGCTATTCAGAAATTATTGACAGCAAAAGTAATGAATATAAGTTGGTGATTAAATTTTTAATACTTGGGTAATCTTTGTCTTAGATGACGATATAACCATATTCTTAGAAAATGCAGAACATACATAGCAGTCACCATCTTTTGAGGAATATTTAAGGTGTATTCAAAAGGGTAAAATTTAGAATGCATGACTTGAAATGAACCACTGGATAAATAGAAATTTAGCATGTCCTTTTACTCCGATATTCTTAGGAGAAGTCTGTAATACCAGACTATTTACTCTGTAACTTGCTATATGTGCTTTTAATGTAGGAAATTTCAATTCATTATCTCCCAATAGACTAAATTTACTAGAATAAATTCTTACGCCTCTATTTTTGCTAGATAATGGAAGAATATTTCTTTTGTTTAGATATAGATGCCCTTATTGGAGGAGAAGTTGGAGGTTTAGAATTTGGCAAGTTACCATTTGGTGCCTGTGAAGATCCTATTAGGTAAGAATTTTAATCTCTCATTTGAATTATGGGACTCTACTTTTTAAATTATACTGATAATGATTTTACCATGCTATATAATAGTGCAGCCTTCTGAATTAATAGTGCCAGAAATAGAGACCACACCTAACAATCTTTCCATCTTTTTCCCCCCTGTAACTTAAAAACAATTTAAAATAATACATAAAATGTATACAATACCTTTCATTAATAATTCTTTATAGAGGTGATTTGGGAAATATTTTAAATAGTGGAAAGCTCAAAAAATATTACATGTAACGATCTTTCATGTATCTATCACCCATAAGTGATAATTACTCACATTTTTCCTGACTTCTTATTTTTTTATTTTTTTTTTTCACATCTGTTAATTTTTGTACTGTATTTGATTTCTCCTCTCAGCTATAGTCCTTGTAGTTCTCCCACCACCATAGCACCGGTGAGCCATTACCACAGTCCCTTATTTTCTTCCCTTTCGTATTTTGATCCCTCTCCCTCCCCTTCTACTTGTATGCCTCAGATCTGTGATCCTGACCACTTTTTCAAAATATGCATATTAAGACATAGACACAGTGGTGACCTCTTAGGTTACACAGTTGCTGTGGGAGAAGAGCTGCTGAACTTTAATGGAAAGCAGTTTCACAAGAAAATATAAAGCTTGCAAAACATAATCACTTATAGCAAAATATTTGGAAAATATAAATAGTGCCAGTTTAGAAATTATTTCATTTGCTTATTTGAATAAGCTGTTTGGTTAATTAAAGTATATTTATACACACGCATGTATATATACATTTTCCTATGCATGAATTTGGTGTATATATGTATGTATGATGATTTATTTGCAGTAGTGGTCTCTAAGTCCACCTTCAGCTTCATAAGATTTAGCATATAGTTGTTCTCATGGCAATTACAGTGAAAGGACGTAAAGCAAAAATTAGCAAGGGGGGAGGGGACATGGGATGAGGTCCTGAGCAAGCCAGATATATGCTTCCTCTTCATTGTAGTTAGACAGGACATGCTTGTTGTTCTAGCCATGAGTTGTGACAACATGAATGAAAGGCTATCTCCTGGGGAGACTCACTAGAGCTTCAGCACTTGGTATTTTTATCAGAGGCTGGTCATAAAAGCACCCTCTGCCTAAGAATTCCAGAATGAATGCAGGTGTCAGAGTAGTCTGTATTATTTATATAATTAGTTTAGGCATAATGAGCCACTCTTACAAAGGAATTGTGGGAACCTACCTGAAATTAAAGTTCTCAAATGCCAAACCAAGGACCAACCTTGTGAGTAGACCTTCCCTAAGTATCAGGCCTGCTCTTTTAACTCTTTTTTGCATAGCATGTTTGTGTATTTCATAAATGTATGGCATATTCTACATTTTAGTGACATGGTTTACTTTAAACTTTACATAAACTTTTTTTAATTGTAGTAGTCATAAGAAGTCAGCAAACTATGGTGCATGAAGCAAATTTGATCAGTAGTCTACTGTTGTATGCCAAGTGGGCTAGGACAAGTCTTCAAATTTTTAAGGATTTTAAGAGAAAGAATAAGCAGAAATAGCAGAAACTCCAAGGCCCTCAAGCCTAAAATATTTGCCAACACTTATCTAACATGCTTTAAAAAAATGTAGATATAAGGCCTCCCTGATGGCTCAAGGGGTTACATTTCAGCACTATGAAGCTATCCGCAGCTACTGCAACACGATTTCGATCCCAGGCCAGGGAGCTACACCACATGGCTCAGCAGCAGACCTCTCCTGTCTCATCTGCTGCTCCCCTCAGCAGTTTATTTCAGTCAACATATCTGTTCTGCTCCCCACTCTATTTCTTGTGAATCCTCTTATTGACCCCCCCCACCCCCCGCACCTCTGGCCTACACCCCAGCTCTTGTATGCACAAATAAATAAATAAATCTTTTTTTTATTCCTTTTTTTTTTTTTTTTTTAAAGATTTGTTTATTTATTTATTTATTTATACAAGCACTGGGTACAGTCAGAAGCGCGGGAGGGTGAGAGAATTCACCAGAGCCAGAGCGGGGAGCAGAGCAGGCAGAAGGACCGAAGTACACTGCTGAGGGGAGCAGCAGCACTCTGAAGAGAAATCCCTCACCTATTAGATACAAACCCCAACTTACCAAGCCCATCTGGGCAAATACTAATTTTCCTCTCTCTATGGATTTATCTATTCTGGACATTTTATGTAAGTTGAGTCATACAACACGTCACCCTTTGTGTCTGACTTCTCTCATTTAGCAAAACAGCCTGAGGTTCATCCACATTGTAGCATAAAATCAGTTTCACCACTTTTATGGGTGTATGATTGTATGGGTAGTACCAAAGTTTGTTTATTCATCAGCTTACAGTCATTTGGGTTATTTATACTTTGTGGCTATTATATATTTATGTAGCATGTTTTTTTAATATCTGCTAGACATTAATTTCATATGAATTTGCTATTATTTGTTTACCAATTACCTTTAGTTTTATTATAAGTAATACTTTTAACTTATTTGTATGTACATCTCTGGTTTTTTGCTTACAATTTATTTTTAGAAGTTGAATTGCTGAATCAGAGGACATATACACAGTGTTAAAGTTTTGGGGTGTATTTTGTGTTTTATTTTAGTGAACTCCATTTAGCAACTACATGGCCTAACCTGACTGAAGGTATCATTGTGGATAATGATGTTTATTCGTAAGTATGTTAAGACTAATTGAAATTCAAAAATTCAATAGAATAAATTAACTGTCAAGTTGTTAGCAATTTTCCTTTGTCAGTTTCTGATAAGGTTGGTTCATTTTTTACTGTTAAAAATCACTTTTTAAGACTGTTTAATATGTATTCGAGATGTCTTTTAACTTTGGAGATGAGATTCTTAGTTCAAAGATAATGAGCAATCTGAATGAATCTTTGGTTTTAGTTATGCAGTTGGAGATTCAGTGTATAATTCTCTTGAACTTTTCTAAGTTGGTAAGAAGCATTTCATGAAATGCTTTGAAGAAATAATGGTCATCAGAATGTGAATATTTGATGATAAATGTAATAGGTAACAGAACATCGATATCATAACTCCTGTACAGTTAAAATTACTCAAATAGTATAGCAAACTTAGAAAGAATGTGGAGAAAAAGGAATGTAATTTTAGTACATTTTCATGTTTTATGCAGAACAGTGAGAACTAGGACACTTCTTTTATAATTAAAATGTATTTGGTGATGGTAAAGGTATTGCACACTTTTTCTTAATTTAGATAATTTACAGACGTGTGAAGAATAAAGTAACAACTACCTGCCGCCCATTACTTGAAAATAGCATTTTGGGTGTATCTTTCTGAAGTTTAAATCTGCATTAATTTGCTTAATATTTAACATTTTAATGCTAATAAATAAAGATCTATATTGTCATTATAAATTGTTGCATATTATTCTACAAAACTGGATGAACTGGGCCTCTCCTGGTGGCGTAGGCTGCTGAGCGCCGTGCTGTGAAGCTGTCCACAGCCTCTGCAGCGCCAGTTCAATCCTTGTCGGCTAGTGAGGGTCCCACATGTCGCAGCAGACCTCTCTTGTCGCGCCCACTAGCTCCCCTCAGCAGTGTATTTTGTCAGTCTGCCTGTTCTGTTCCCCGCTCTATCTCTGGTGAATCCTCTCACCCTCCCATGCATCTGGCCTGTACCCCGGTTCTTGAATAACATAAATAAATCTAAAAAAAAAATAAAAAAAAAAAACTGGATGAACCATAATCTATCTAATTAAAGAAATAGGATGCTTTTGATCTTGTGCAAATTTTTGTAGTTTCTTTTTTTATTATTAGTGCTATAAAAAACAAGGTGATTACTTTATATTTCTCATTTCTTTTTTATTGTAAAATGTAATTTTTCTCATTAGATTATCAGTTAATATTGCCTGTTCAAAGTCACTTTTTAAATGTGTTATTTTCATTTTGTTTTTATTTTGTTTTTTCCTGTTTAGCTTATTGGTCTGAGAACTTTGATTTCTTAAGATTTTATTTTTTTATAACTTTGCCAAAAGCCTTATGCATCAGAGTTAACAGTTTAAAGGAGGCAAAATGGATTGCTTCTTCTATCTGTAATGTTTTGATTAAGATGCATTTTGATAAATATGTGAGTCTTATCGATTGTCATAATTAGGATCTCATGTTTATCATTTTTGCATTTCAGTGATTTGGATCCAATTCAGGCTCCCCACTGGTCTGTTAGAGTTCGAAAAGCTGATAATCCTCAGTGTTTGCTAGGTAAGATATTATGTTCCTTTCCTGAAATACCACCAGTCTGTCTGCTTTCCAAATAAGAACACTGAATGCATTCTCCATACTTTATTTCATTTATCCAAAAAAGTAATTTTTAGTTTCATTTTACAATTGTTGCTCCTAAGGTTAACACCATTAAAAAACAAAATTTTTGCCAACAGCAGTAATTCTTGAACAGCAGTGTCTGGATTTCTTTCTTGTCTTTTAGTTTTAACCAGTCTCCACATCAAAATCCCTGGATCTGAGTTTTATTCTAATGCTTTATGCCACTTCCCCCCTCCCCCAAACCCCTTTTGTAGCGTAGTCTGCATCTTCTATTTTAGTTAGTAGAGAACTTTTTGCCTTTTACCTTCCCTCTGGACTGTGGTACATGATGGGAAGAACACATATTTTGACAGTCTGTATTAGAAGGTAGAGTTGTATGACATTGCAAACCTATTTTCTTTTTTTTTGTTAAAGATTTATTTATTTTTGCATACAAGAGCTGGGGTACAGGCCAGAGATGGGGGGGTGAGAGGATTTCACCAGAGACAAAGTGGGGAACAGACCAGACAGACTGATTGAAACACATTGCTGACGGGAGCAGTGGGCGAGGCAGGAGAGGTCTGCTTTGCTATGTGGGTTGCTCCCTGGCCCACCGGGGATCAAACTTGTGCTGTAGAGGCTGCAAAGTGCTTCATAGTACGGTGCTTAACCCCTTGCGCCACCAGAGAGGCCCTGCAAGCCTATTTTCTGATAGGGAAAAAAGATGTAATCACATGCCTCTCAGAGTTATTTGAAAAATCAGATGAAATAGCATAAATAGAAATACTTTAAAAAATATCAATTTCTATTCAGATAGTTTATCCCATGACTGAAGTTATCTTTTCCTTTCCATTTTTATAGATTATCATCATTAAGAAGTCTTTTTTACCCATCTCCTCCATGTGCTTTTCCATGTTTTTCTCTTTTATATTTGTATACATGAAAACTTTTCTCTGTTTCTTAGCTCCGTAGTACCTGACATATTACCTTTCACTTGATGAATTTTCTAAATACTTTTTGATGATAGTGATGCATTTCTTTAAAGTGTTATTTTCTTGGGCTCTTTTCATCAGCTGTTCTTCATCAGCTGTTCATCAAATTCTAATCATCACTTAGCATTTGTGTTGAATATATAGCAGTGAATACAAGATATATACAGTAAAAATCCTGCTATTGGTGTATTTTTCTAGGGTGTTGGGAAAAGTGGGTCGATATTAAGAGTGCTGGAGATGGGCGGAACTTGTTTCAGATCCTAGGTCATCAGTTTGAGCAAATCTCACTGAAATAGAGGTAACAATAATAATACACTTTGTAGGGTTATTGAGAGTATCAAATAAAGGTTGTGTATGTGTATTACATTTAACACTGTGTCTGTCTTTTAGAAGATGTTCAATAGTTTCTGTTGTTTAACCATTAAATTTACTTACTGTATTCCTTCCTAGTTCCTTATTATTCCTCATTCTCTGATTTCTGTAATTGCAGAGTACATTTAAAATTACAAGTAATTTCATTTTAAATTACTGTTTAGTAACCTCATCCTACCTCTGACTTTTTATGGCTAGATTATAGGGTTATGTAGTCGTCTTACATAGTCACTATATAACAAACTATATAACTAGTTAGTAGAATTTTGCTGCTTTGCTGAAGAAGCCCAGAAAATATTCTGGGTTATTCAGAACTAGTTGATGGTTTCTAAGGCCTAGAAGTACTCAGTATACTCTCTTGTCCAGCAGTTTTTATTGCTGATGGCTCTTAAGTTTTAATTTGTATAAACTTATCTCATTACCCCTTTTTAGAAGATATTAAACCTTCTTACCCCTGTGATGATACATAATATACTATTAGTATCAGTTGAAGCTTAATTTTTTCATTGATTCAGAATTATAGTAGGGTGTGGCACTGGAGAGAGTATACATATAGTAATGTTCTTTATTTATTTTTTAAGATTTATTTATTTATTTATACAAGCACTGGGTATAGTCAGAAGTGCAGGAGGGTGAGAGAATTCACCAGAGTCAGAGCGGGCAACAGAACAGGCAGACTGACGAAGTACACTGCTGAGGGGAGCTGCAGGCACGGCAGGAGAGATCTGCACGCCATATGGGACCCTCACCGGTGGCTGGGGATCGAACTGGCGCTGCAGAGGCTGCAGGCAGCTTCGCAGCCCAGCGCTCAACCACTGCGCCACTGGGGAGGCCCCATATAGTAATGTTCTTATTATATAACTTTATTAACTTAAAAAGATACTATTTGGGGCCTCTTTGGTGGCCTAGGTGTTAAATCTCAGCAATATTACCTCTATGGCCTGAGTTCAATCCATGGCCAGGGAGCTAACCCACATGTGGCACAGCAGACCACTCCTGTCTTGCCCACTACTCCCCTCAGCAGTGTGTTTCAGTAAATCCACCTGTTCTGCTCCCCACTCTGTCTGGTGACTTCTCTCACTCCCTGTGGCTCTGACATATACCCCAGTTCTTCTACACAAAAGTAAAAAAAAAGACACTATTTGTCTTATTCGGACATATAATAAGTACTTAATATTATTTATTTTTCCTTTCATTCTAGTGGGAATTTTAAGGAAAAACTTTTTAATATTCTGGAACATAGAGAAAAGGAAGAGCAAGTATACTTTTGAAATAGCATTAATCTTGGTTTTTGGTAGAAAAACTGAATGGCTTTTTGAAAAAAGATATGTTCTTTATAGGATTGATTTCTTTTAGTTATATGTCAAAATGAGTAACATCTCTTCTATAATAGGTGATTTTGTCACTGAATTTTTTAAAATTTGCCGTCGAAAGGAATCAACTGATGAGATTCTTGGACGATCCACTTTTGAGGAAGAGGGAAAAGGTAACTTTTTTTTGGTTATTATAAAATGTCTAATCCTTTCTCTTTGGCACATTTTCCGATAATTTCCTTTTTTTTTTTTTTTCTCATTTAAATTAAGTTAGAGAAACAAGTTTTGATGGACTAGCTAGTTACCATCTCTCTCCAGGCTATCCTCTGAGCTTAATAGGTGCATTTAATAAGTTTTTTTCTACCAAAAATGTAATATATTTTGAAAAGCAGGGTTTTTGAGGTTTATTTTTGAAGTCCTCTGAGGAGAAATAATTTGTGTTACATCTTTGTCAATCAAGAATGTGTATGAAGCCAAATAGATGTTTTAAATTTTTATGATTCTGGGAGTATGTAATACATATGTAATATATGAAAAGAGTGATTAAAATATTCTATATAATTACCATTTTATTCATCATTTTAGCCTCTTAAGGTTATTGATTCAATATGTATTTATTTTCACTCTTTTTATAGAAATTGCTGATATAACTCATGCTTTGTCAAAGTTGACAGAACCAGCATCAGTTCCAATTCATAAATTATCAGTTTCAAATATGGTACACACGGCAAAGAAAAAAATACGAAAACACAGAGGTGTAGAAGAGTCACCGCTGAATAATGAAGTCCTCAATACTATTCTCTTGGTAACTAAATCTTTGTCTATATGTACACTCATTTATTCATTAGATATTCCCTTTTAGGAGGCACACACAATTGGGTATATAAAATGAGTAAAATAATGCTTCAGCATTCAGAAATTTCTAACTAGTATAATGTGAAAAAGGAAAGTAAACAATATCATGTTGCATGTGAGAACACAACAGAGGATGCATCTGTCTCTCTCTGGGCAGTGAGAATCAGGAAAGACTTATACAGAGGGGTGCTTGAGTTGCATCATACAGTTTCAGAAGCAGGTGAATGCAGAAGCCTAAGAGAGCATGTTGAACAGTTTGATATAGTGTAGATTGCTTCCCAAGGAGTGGTCAAAGAAGAGACTAGAAATAAAGAAGATGACTTGCCATGCTGAAGCACTGTATTTTATCTTGCAGTTTAATACCATTTTAAGTAAAAGAATTGTACTTGAAAACTTACTTTCACCACAGTTCAGAGAAAGCTTTATAGTGAGTAGTAGGTTGGAAGTAGGGTGACTCCTAGGTATACTGTTGTATGACCAGGATTTAATTCTAATTTACTATTTGACTTTGCTATTTTTTCACATTTTATTTTATTTTTATTTTTATTTTTATTTTATTTTTTTTACATCATTGTAGTCCCCATAGTTCTTCCACCACGGTATCACCTGTGAACCATCACCGTATTCCCTTGTGTTCACCCCTCCCCTTTTTTTGCCCCCCTCCAAACCCCCCTACTCCCTCCCCTTCCTTTGCTTCAATTCTGTGGTCAGCTTCCTGGTGACTTTTTCTTTTGACTTTTTCTTGACCTTTTGTTTGGTTTCTCTATACCACAAAACATTTGGGGGTTAACAGTGATAAAAGGCCTGAAAATTATTTTTTTCCCTTTTCTAGTTTTTATTTTTTTAATTTAACTTTTTTAATGAGGTAACATTGGTTTACAACACCCTGTATTATCTAATGGGATAGAGTCACACCTCCTCAGATGTATGTCATCACATGACACCACATTTATCAACAAATCATCCATAGTCCTTTAACATAGGCCATTGAATCCCCTCCCCACTTTTCTTTTGACCTTTTCTTGACCTTTTGTTTGGTTTTTCTATATTCCACATATAAATGAGACCATCTGGTATTTATCTTTTTCCTTCCAACTGTATAACTTTGAACAAGACATTAAACTTTCCTCATCTATCAATGAGGCTAATTAAGCCTTGTGAGATTGTTGTGAGGACTTCTATTATACTGCATGGCATATACTAGGACTTTGATAAACGATAGCTATTCTTACTATTATTGTAATTATAATAATAATTGTACTTATCACTGCATTAAGATAATCTTGGGAACAACCTTCAAGAGTTGTGCACTGAAAAGAATACTGGACTTGGAACTTTGTATTAAACTTGTCCCTGCCATTTATTTGAACAATACTCTTAACCAGATTTTTAGCTCGTATGACTATAAGATGTGAGCATTAATATTTAATCATACAGTGTGTAAGAATAATGTTTGTAAATGTGCATAGTAGTGGAGGTTGGCACAAAGTTGTTGATCTGATTTTAAAAAATCTATTGAGCATATTCTTTAATATATAACAAAGTATGCATAGTTAAAGGAGTTACAGATCAGGGGAATATAAAAATAAAAAAAAGATTTAAAATAAAAAAAAGGAGTTACAGATCAGCAGTAACACAAAACATTTGTGGGCTAACAGTAATAAAAGGCCTGAAAATTATTTTTTCCCTTTTCTAGTTCTTATTTTTTTAATTTAACTTTTTAAATTGAGGTAACATTGGTTTACAAGACCCTATATTATCTAGGGGGATAGAGTCACACCTCCCAGATGTATGTCATCACATGACACCACATCTATCAACAAATCATCCATAGTCCTTTACCATAGATCACTGAATCCCCTCCCCACTTTGTTTCCAACCTTGCAGTCATATATCTAGGGTTTATTTTCAGATAGTTCTGTCCATTCACTTGTTTTGTTTTTCTGTATTCCACATGAGTGAAATTAATTTCTATAGATAAGCCCCCTTAAGAATATGTCCTAAGAGATTTTATTATTATTATATAGCTTGATTGCCATATGAGCTCCACCCCTACACACATACACACTCCTGTGCAAACAGAAACAGTGGAGAAGGTATATTGGTCATGTGGACTGCATTCCACTGTTGTTATCTTAGAAACATAAAAGCTATTGGTCTTAAGTGCCATATTTTTAGCATTTTATATATGAAACTGTATAATATAACTTTCAGAGCCTCAAATATAAGGATATTTTAAATTTTTGTATATAGTTTTATCTTTTTAATATTAACACTTTTTTAAAAAAAGTTAATGACCTTGGATGAACCAGAGATCATAGTGAAGAATGTTGAGCGCTGTTTAGCTCACAGAACCAGATGATTGCATTTAAGAAAAATCTCTTTGATATTTAAATTTGTCTAATTGCTGAATCTGTGTTGTATATTTTCGGAGAAAAATAGAAAACATTTGAGATAGTATAGAACCAACTGACTGGTACAATAAGAGTATTACTATTGTTTCACAATAAAAGCATTAAAAAGTCTAATATCTGACTTATAAAAATGAACAAAATGTGAAATTTGATCTAAAATATGATTGTTTTCTTTCTTTCACCTTAGTTCTTATTCCCTGATGCTGCTTCTGAAAAACCTTTAGATGGAACATCTGTAACAAACAACAATCCTCCATCAGACAATGAAGACTATGTAAGTTTATTTGGCGTTCAATTTCAAAATTTTTAAAATACACAGAATTTCTTGGGTTTGTTATATTTCTAGTTAAGTGTCATAGGTATCTTCTCATTTAAAAAATCACTGTACGAAAGCTTGAGTGGAGATCATGGCCACTACTCAGATAATGACCTGCTGTCAAACATTATTTTAGGTAGCAAGCTCTTTTCTGGAAACAATGAAAAAACTGCATAAATACACTGTTTTTGGTTATAGGATTTCCCTCATTGTAGACTTTTTGTAAAATCACCAAATTTATGCTTTTTTTTTTTTATTAAATTTTATTTTTATATTCCCCCATACAATTGCAAACGCCCCATTCTGACCCCAATCCTTCCCCTCCCGCCCCCCAACCCCCAAAAAGTGTCTCTGGTTCATAGTTTTTTTGTTGATTTTGATTTTCACTTTCTTATTTTCATTTTCCTCGTCCCTTATTTAAGTTTTCTAGATTCCTGCTATGAGTGAGACCATCCGGTATTTTTCTTTTTCTTTTTGGCTTATTTCGCTGAGCATGATCCCTTCCAGTGCCATCCATGTTGCTGCAAATTGCATGTGTTTATCTTTTTTGAATGCTGAGTAATATTCCATGGTATATATGTACCACATCTTCTTGATCCAGTCATCTATTTTTGGGCATTTGGGTTGTTTCCAAAGCTTAGCTATTGTAAACAGTGCTGCTATAAACATAGGGGTGCAGGTGCTCTTTGGAATTGATGTTTCTGTGTCCTTTGGGTAAATACCTAGGAGTGGAATTGCTGGATCATATGGAAGCTCTATGTTTAGTAGGTCCAGAAATCTCCACACAGCTCTCCATAGTGGTTGGACCAGTTTGCACTCCCACCAACAGTGCAGAAGAGTTCCTTTTTCTCCACACCCTCGCCAACATTTGTTGTTGCTAGTTTTTTTAATATGTGCCATTCTCACTGGTGTGAGATGGTATCTCATGGTAGTTTTGATTTGCATTTCCCTGATGACAAGTGATGTTGAACATTTTTTCATATGTCTGTTGGCCATTTGCATTTCCTCTTCAGAGAAGTTTCTTTTTAGCTCTTCTGCCCATTTTTTGACTGGATTATTTTCTTTGTTGTTGCTGAGTCTCATCAGCTCTTTGCAGATTTTTGTGATCAGTCCTTTATCATTAGTGTTGGGTGCAAAAATGTTCTCCCAGTTGGTGGGGTTTCTCTTTGTTTTTGTTATTGTCTCTTTTGCTGTGCAGAAGCTCTTTAATTTGATGTAGTCCCAGCTGTTTATCTTTGTCTTCACTATCACTGCTTTGGGTGATGTGTCTGTAAAGATGTCTTTGATGTGCAAATCCCGTAGTGTTTCGCCTATATTTCCTTCTATGTATTTTATGGTTTCAGGTCTTATGTCTAGTTCTTTAATCCATTTTGAGTTGATTTTTGTGTATGGTGTGAGGTAGTGGTCAAGCTTCATTCTTTTGCATGTAGCGACCCAGTTTTCCCAGCACCATTTATTGAACAAACTTTCTTTGCTCCAATGCATAGTCTTTGCTCCTTTGTCAAAGATTAGTTGACCATAAATCTGTGGGTTTATTTCTGGATTTTCTATTCGATTCCATTGGTCTGTATGTCTGTTCTTGTTCCAATACCATGCAGTTTTGATGATTATGGCTTTGTAGTATAGTTTGAAGTCTGGGAGTGTGATGCCTCCATTTCCTTCTTTTTTTTTCAGTAGAGCTTTGGCTATTCGGGGTTTTTGGTGATTCCATATGAATTTCATCAATAATTGTTCTATTTCTTTGAAGAATGCCATTGAGATTTTGATTGGAATAGCATTGAATCTGTATATTGCTTTTGGTAGGATGGCCATTTTAATAATGTTTATTCTTCCAATCCATGAGCAGGGGATGTCTTTCCATTTCTTTGTGTCTTCTTCTATTTCTTTTAACAGTGTTTTATAGTTTTCTTTGTATAGGTCCTTTACCTCTTTTGTTAGATTTATTCCCAAATATTTGATTTTTTTTGTTTCGATAATAAAAGGGGTGGTTTTTTGATTTCTTCTTCTTCAGATTTATTGTTTGTGTATAGGAAGGCTACTGACTTTTGCGTGTTGATTTTGTATCCTGCCACTTTACTGAATTGATTGATGAGTTGAATTAGTTTTTCTGTGGAGATTTTGGGGTTCTCTATGTATATTATCATATCATCTGCAAATAGTGATAGTTTGACTTCTTCTTTTCCTATTTGGATTCCTTGGATGTCTTTCTCTTGTCTTATTGCTCTGGCTAGGACTTCCAGTATTATATTGAAAAGCAGTGGTGAGAGTGGACATCCTTGTCTTGTTCCAGATCTTAATGGAATTGCTTTCAGCTTTTCACCATTGAGAATGATACTGGCTGTTGGCTTGTCATAGATGGCCTTTATGATGTTGAGGTATGTTCCTTGTATCCCAAGAATTTCAAGGGCTTTTATCATGAATGGGTGTTGCACTTTGTCGAAAGCTTTCTCAGCATCTATTGATATTATCATATGGTTTTTATATTTCTTTTTGTTGATGTGTTGGATAACGTTGATTGATTTTCGGATGTTAAACCATCCTTGTGCCCCTGGAATGAATCCAACTTGGTCGTGGTGAATTATCTTATGGATACATTGTTGGATTCTGATAGCTAAAATTTTATTGAGGATTTTTGCATCAGTGTTCATTAGGGAGATTGGCCTGTAGTTTTCCTTTTTTGTGTTGTCCTTGTTCGGTTTTGGTATTAGTGTAATGTTGGCTTCATAGAACGTGTTTGGTATTGTCCCTTCCTTCTCAATTTTTTGGAAGAGTTTGTGAAGGATAGGCACTAATTCGTCTCTGAATGTTTGGTAGAATTCATTTGTAAATCCATCAGGTCCTGGGCTTTTGTTTTTGGGGAGGTTTTTGATTACCATTTCAATTTCGCTAGTTGTAATTGGTCTGTTTAGGTGTTCTATTTCTTCTTTATCTAGCTTTGGGTGATTGTAGAGTTGTAGGAATTTGTCCATCTCCTCTAGATTGTTGAACTTGTTTCCATATAACTGTTCATAGTAGTTACTGATTATTCTTTTGATTTCTGTTGTGTCCGTTGTGATTTCTCCTCTTTCATTTGTGATCCTGTTTATTTGTGCTTTCTCCCTTTTTTCCTTTGTGAGCCTGGCTAGGGGTTTGTCTATTTTATTTATTTTTTCAAAGAACCAGCTCTTGGTTTCATTGATCTTTTGGATTGTTTTTTTAGTTTCAATTTCATTTATTTCTGCTTTGGTTTTTATTATTTCTTTTCTTCTACTGGTTTTGGGGTTTTTTTGTTGTTCTTTTTCTAGATCTTTGAGCTTCGAGATTAGGTTGTTTCTTTGAGTTCTTTCTTGTTTTTTGATGTGAGCTTCTATTGCTATATATTTTCCTCTTATTACTGCTTTTGCTGCATCCCATACATTTAGGATATTGGTGTCCTCCTTGTCATTCAATTCAAAGAATTTTTTAATTTCTTCTTTGATCTCCTCGTTAGTCCAGTGGTCTTCCAGTAGTGTGGCTTTTAATCTCCATGAGGTAGGATAGTTCCTTGCCTTCTTTTTATGATTTATTTCTAGTTTGATGCTTTCGTGGTCAGAAAAGATGGTTGGTATGATTTCAATCTTGGTGTATCTGTTGATGTTTGTCTTGTGCCCCAGTATGTGATCGATTCTGGAGAATGATCCGTGTGCGCTTGAGAAAAATGTGTACTCCGTTTTTTTTGGGTTTAGTGTTCTATAGATGTCTGTTAAGCCCAAATGCTCTAGGTCCTTATTTAGAGCTTTAGTTTCTTTACTTATTTTTTGTCTTGTTGATCTATCCATTGTTGATAGTGGTGTGTTGAAGTCTCCCACTACGTATGTGTTTTCTCTGATTTCTGTTTTTAGAGAGGACAACAGTTGTCTGATATATTTTGGTGCTCTTTCGTTTGGTGAGTATATGTTAATGAGTGTTATTTCTTCTTGAAGTATTGTCCCCTTAATCATAATGTAGTGACCATTGGGGTCTCTTTTTATTTTTTTGAGTTTGAAGTCTGTTTTATCTGATATAAGTATAGCTGTTCCTGCTTTCTTTTTTGGCCCATTTGCTTGTAGGATTGTTTTCCATCCTTTGACTTTGAGCCTATTTTTATCTTTTGTAGCTAAATGTGTTTCCTGGAGACAGCAAAAGGTTGGGTTTTGTTTCTTAATCCAGGCTGCAACTCTGTGTCTTTTTATTGAAGAGTTTAGTCCATTTACATTTAGAGTTAATATTGATATGTTAGCATCTGTATTTGCCATTATGTTTGTCTTTCCTTTGATTTTATTTATTCTTTTAATAACTTTTTTTTTTTTTTTTTTTTTTTTGGTCTTCTTTTGTTGTTATTCGTCCCTCTGAGGTTCTGGCTTTAGGATTCCTTGTAGTATTTTTTGGAGTGGGGGTTTATTCCTAATGAAATTCCGGAGTTTCTCTTTGTCTGGGAAGGTCCATATTCTTTCTTCATGGAGGAAAGAGATCTTTGCGGGATAGAGTATTCTTGGTTGGCATCTGTTTTCTTGGAGTCTGTTGACTATGTCCCTCCACTCTCTCCTTGCCCGTAGTGTTTCTTCAGAGAAGTCTGATGTCAGCCTGATTGGTTTTCCTTTGAATGTTATCTGTTTCTTCCCTCTTGTCAGCTTCATTATTTTTTCCTTGTCCTGGATTCTTGGGAGCTTTACTATTATGTGTCTTGCTGTGTTTTTCCTTTCGTCGTGGAAGTTTGGTGTTCTTCTTGCTTCTTGTATATCAATTTTCAGCTCCTTCTTCGCATTTGGGAAGTTCTCTTCAATTATCTCCTGGAATATTTTCTCTGTTCCTACATCTCTCTCCTCTCCTTCTGGAATTCCTATAACTCTTATATTTCCTTTCCTCATGGAGTCAGATAGTTCCCGAAGTCTTTCTTCATTCTTTTTCCTTCGTACTTCTCTTTCCTTTTCTGTTTTGGTTCTTTTTATTTCTGTGTCTTCAAGAGAACTTATTCGTTCTTCCATTTCATCAATTCTGCTTTCCTTGCTTTCCCGGAGTTCTTTAGTTCCTCCATTAATTCTTTGATCTCCTGCATTTCTTTTACTTCCCTCTTTAGGGACTCAATTTCATTCTTCTGACCATTGTTTTCCCTCTTTAGGGACTCAATTTCCTTCTTCTGATCTATCACTTTTTTAATCATGGTAATTTTAAATTCTCTTTCTGGAAGGCTCAGAAGTTCTTCCAAGTTGCTGTCGTTGCAATCTGGGGAGTGGTTTTCTTTTTGTGGTGTGCTTCTTTCCTGAGGAGTTGTTAGGTTGCGTGTGGTTCTTCTACTCCCTACTGTCTGTTTTGTAATTTGTCGTATGCGTTGGGACACTGTGTTGCTCGGACTGACTGACATCTTGGGTGAACTTCTCCGCTCCCCTCTGGCTCTTCCAGGAGCCATCTCTGTCTTCTGGGGGAGCTTTCTGCTGGTTTTAGGCAGTTTTTACTGAAGAAATGTCCCTGTTCTCAAATGGCGAAGCGGGATGCAGTCCCTGCACCTCCGGTTTCAGGCACACTCTTCTGCGCACCCGGTCTGCCCGGACGTGGGTGCCTGCTCCCTCTGTGGGCTCAGACTGCTGGTCGGAAGGGGCCTGGCGTGGAATAACTTCCCGGTTGGCCACTGGGTCCTCCAGAGCCTTCTGCCCTTTTCAAGCAGTCTTAAGAAATTTCCTGTTCTATGGGGTGTTAGTGACTTTTTTTTTCCTGGTCGCTAGGTGGCGCCAGAGATCTCTCCTATTGTCCTTGGGGGGCTGTTTTTCGCCTCCCCCCACCCCGTGGGACAGGGAACAGAGCGGGAATGGTAGGGTACACCTCAACAGCTTTGGGGTGCTGTGTCTGCCTTGTGCCCCACTGTCGTGGAGAACCCATGCCCGAATTTTCGTGCCCCGGGTCTCAGTTCAAAGCCCTCAGTTCCAGGACGCGGGCTGTAGCCCAGTTCAGTGGCGCGGGAATGGCGCCGCTCCCGTGCCTGGGCGCCTGGTTCCTGCTTACTCAGGGAGGGACCTTCACCTCAGTGAGGACCTCCGCGCGTCTCCCCACAAGCCTAGGTCGCAGGCACGGGGACCTGGGCAGCCGCAATCCTGGTCTGCACTTGCTTTTCAAGCGCGCCGAGTGTGCCGTTTTCCCGCGCAGGCTTACCGGCAGCCCGGGCTGTGTGCGCGTCTCCCGGGGTCTTTGTTCTTCTCTAATGGCGCCCGGAGCCGTTCGCTCACCGCCGCGGCGGATCCTGCAGGGTTCGCCTCAGCTCCCGTTCACGGGGTGTGGTGGCTGCAATAGTTCCTTTCCACTCACAGTCCCGCTTGCTGCGTCGTTTGTTCTTGTTGGCCGTTTTGGTTTGTTGTTTTCCTCCTCTCTGCCGGTCGGAGAGTGCTGCCTCTGTGGGCGGGGGAGGGGAGCAGGGTTCTGCGCTTCCCTCCCCTCTAGTCCTCTTTTATGGCCACTTTCTTCTTCGGGCAGTTCGCTGGCGTCACCCGTTTATCTTCCGTGTCCCGGTTCTCACTGGGACCTGCTGCTTTTCCTCCCTATTAACTTTTTTTAATGGGAGATCTTACTCGCAGCGTCTCCTTGCCGCCATGTTGCTCCGCCCCCTCCCAAATTTATGTTTTTTAACAAATTCTTCTCTGCATTTCAAAACTAAACAATGAATGGAGAAGTGTTTAATGAAATAAAATGTGTAAAAAGTTTATCCTTATCCCAGCCTTTTTTCTTCTCCAAATAAACCTTTGATAAATTGAGAAATGAGAATTTAAATATTATATTTATTGAGCTTATCAAACTTTATCATAATTATTGTTGGGAAATACATTTCATTCAGTTTATAGTTCTGGTTTTATGTTTTCGTTTTGACAAAATGTGTACTCATTTATAATTAAAAGACTTTAAAACAGCATATAAAGTTTGGATTACATCATAAAGATTCCATAGAATAATGTAAAAGTTGTAACTTCACCTTACTGAACTATAGCCTCACTTTTTTATCCTTGTAGAAATCTTGAAGACATAAAATTTTCTAAGAACAATTAAGACATAATGTGTTATTAGATATTTGATAAAAGCTAATTTTAGCTTTTATCAACTAAAGTTGATAAAAGCTTATATCAACTAAAGTTGACTTTAGTATTAAAATCTTTCCTCACAGTTTTTGATTATACATGTAACTATGTTGTTAACCAGTTTTGCTTTGTTTCTATTTTGCTAAATTTAGAATCTCTACAATCAGTTCAAATCTGCGCCTTCTGACAGTTTAACATACAAATTGGCTTTGTGTCTTTGTATGATCAATTTCTACCATGGGGGATTGAAAGGAGTGGCACACCTCTGGCAGGAATTTGTTCTTGAAATGCGTTTCAGATGGGAAAACAACTTTCTGATTCCAGGGTAATTTCAGTTTCCTCTTGTATTAGAAACTTACTGAATCAAAATCTTCATTTTAGGAAAAAAAATTTATAAAGAGCTATTTTATTAGGATTATGATATATATAAATAAAGACGCATATACTGTACTATTTATATATTTACTGTAAAAAAAAATGTTACAGATGACAAACTAAAAATAATTTATTCTTACCAAAAAAATGTTTATTCTTTATAAGTCATTTCCAATGTCTGCTTTGCTGTCTTCTCTCTCTCTTGATTCTAACCAGTTTTCTCTATAACTCAGTACAGATTCAGGAGCATATTAAATGGGAGGGAGTTTCTCTGCCTGGTTATTGGGAACCCTAGTGATTTAGAGCTAGATGCAGTCCAGCTTTGGCAAAAGAGGGATGGAGAACTTAGTTTTCATGTTGAGAATACACTATTATCCTTGAGAATTGAATGCAAAATCCATTTTGTATGGTATGAACTACTGTATGCGAGCTACTTCATGGGGTGGATTTAGAGACTTTTTCAAGCTATTGTTGGCTTGAGAGCTATAACTAGTTTGCTGTTATGCTTTGAAATTTCTGTTGCATTTGCTATGTGCAATTTATGGACAAATAAATTTTGATGATTTAGTGTTATTTGTTCTGTCTCAGCTACTTTATATATAGAAATTTAGTTTTTACTTATCAATACTGCTAAAATTTAGGGTGGTATAAAATATGCACATCAAAAGCAATTTTACTAAAACTGCTTTCTTTTCCTACTACTTTATTTGATAGATTAGCAAGCGGACCCCCAGATCTAAGATGTTGTTTACTACATCAGAAACTACAGGTAAAGATTTCCTAATGATGCTGTATAAATGTCTTGTTTCTGTTGGAGATTCTTGTGCTACTAAATATAATAGAGGATTGTAGGCTAGTTTAGAATGAAAATTAGCTAGTGGATAGATTTTTATTTTAGTGTTACTAATTCAAATGTTACTTTTTTATTTTTAAGATGTTGAATTGTTGTATTGAAAGAAAGAAGGCACGTGATGAGGGGAGAAAGACAAGTACTTCAGATAATGTGATTAATACATATCCAGGGGATGCTGGAAAAGCTGCAGACCATCTGGGGCCAGACAATTTAAAAGATACAGAAAAGGAAAAAGGAGAGGTGGGAAAGTCTTGGGATTCTTGGAGTGACAGTGAGGAAGAATTTTTTGAATGCCTAAGTGACACTGAAGAACTTAAGGGAAATGGACAAGAAAGTGGCAGGAAAGGAGGGCCTAAGGAGCTGGCAAACTTAAAGCCAGAAGGACGTCTCACTCAACATGGGAAACTTACACTGCTACATAATGGAGAGCCTCTCTACATCCCTGTAACCCAGGTAGGACATGGACCAGCTCTTTAAATTTTTATTTTAAAAATTCATTGTGTGTTTAATTTCATCCTAGTAAGAGGTGATTTCTTTGGGTAGGGTTAATTCTTTAAACAATCTTTGTTCAAAAATCAATGATTTGAAAGCTAAATAAACTATTAGGGATTTTGACCTACCATTTCTGAACTTGAGATATGTTTCATAGTTTAAATAAAAGGTGATCTATTATTTCTTAAGCTGAGTGGTGAGTACTCAGACATTTTTTAAAAATCCAAGAATATGGAGGGAAAGGACAAAAGTAAAAATCTGTTAATGTGGTGACTAGTTTTCATCTGTTCAAATCTGTAGTTTACAGCCATTTAACACCATATAGGAAGTAGAACAATAACTCAACACTTGGGGAAAAGATTAGTTCCAATTGGGTTGGTTATGCACAAGTAATATGGGAATATACACTTTATTGTGAAAAATTCAAATCTAGAAATCAGCTTTAGAAGAACCACGTATTATTGGTTTGGATCATGATTTTCTTATACCTTTTTCTGTTCATTGATTTTGTGTGTGTGTGTGTGTGTGTGTGTGTGTGTATGCATGTCATAGGTTTTTTTTTTTAACGTGTGCATGGTGTGCAACCTTTTTTTTTTATATAATTTGACTTGAAGATTACATGTAGATCTACTTTATTTTGTGTGTTCAGATATGAGTGCAACTCTAAGGCAGAAGATGAGAATGGCATTGCTAAATAAATGAACATGCAAGTTATGAAATGCTTCTTCAAAAGCTACACAAATTGAAAAAAAAAAACTACGTATATTTAGACTTGCATCATTGGTGAATACAGGAATAAAAAAATAAGGCACTGAATAAGGCACTCAGACACTTTTATTTTTGCTTAGAGAAGCTAGGGTATAGGCCAGAGGCGTGTGTGAGGGAAGGTGGTAAGAAGATTCACTAGAGAGAGCAGGGAGCAGAACAGGCAGATCTACTGAAATACACTAAGGGGAGCAGCGGGCGAGACAGGAGAGGTCTGCTGTGGGTCAGCTTCCTAGCCGGGAATCGAACTTAGGGCGTAGTCATGGTTACCATTGAGACTTAAACCCTAGGTCACTAGGGAGGTCTGGCATTCATTTTCTTACAGATATATTCTTAAGAATGAAATATGTTTTAACTTTAGTACTTATTGCTAAACAGTTTTCCTAAGTGGTATAATTGTTTGTTATTCCCTCCATAGTTTGGAGGGAAACACCACTCCCAAGTTTGAGGATTTTCTAGAAGTTCTAGGACTCAACTGTGTTCATGGCTATAATTTAATTACAGATAAAGGATAGGAAGCAAAATCAGCAAAAGAAAGTAAGGTTAGAGGGCCAAAGTTTAGAGGCTATCAAGCACAAACTTCCATGAGTTTCCTCCCAGTGTTGTAATACAGGATGCACTTAATTCCTTCAGTATTAATTATGAATATGCACATGAAATGTTGTAAACCTATTAGAGTCAGTGCTCAGGCTTTTTACTGGGCTTTACTGGGTCTTTACATAAGCTTTACCTAGCATATACCAAAATTCCAGAATGTCAGAAGGAAAGCAGGTGTTTATCATATACTATATTTGACAAAGAGTTAGGCACACAGCTTTTTTTTTTTTTTCCCCCAATCAGTTCTGATTATGGTGGTGATCCTGTCAAAATCCACATTACCAGCTGCCAGCCAAGGGCCAACTTTGCAAACAGGCCTTTCTGAGAATAGCAGTATACTATGGGTCACCTCTTCTCCACATACTTGATGTTTTCAGTCATTTCAACTTTTGCCTTTCAGAATATGTAATAGTATATTATGTTTTTTCATTTCCCTGATGAATAATGATACTAAAATATTTTTATATGTTTAATGCCTATTTGGGTATCTTCTTGGTGAGGTGCTTATTTAAGGCCTTTGGCTGTTTTTAACAAGTTTGTTTCTTTTCTTTTGGCTTTGTAGGGATTCTTCATATATTTTACATATGAATCCTTAGTTTTATATATGTATATATGTAAAATATATGTCCAAGTACATATTTTATATACAAGTATATGTTGTGATTTTTTGTACAAGTACATAAAATATATGTACAAGTATTTTTTAATATTTATACAACAGATAATAATTTCTCCTAGTCTGTGCTTGCCTGTTCACTTAATGATGTTATTCTTAATTTTAATAAAGTTTGGTCTATCAGTGTTTTTCCTATGTGGATAATGCTTTTGTCTCTCATCTAAAAGATCTTTACCTATCCCAGGAGAATCCCAAATTTCTCCTATGTTTTCCTCTGGAATCTTTATTGTTTCACCTATCACAGTTATATTTGTGATCCATTATGAATGGGTTATGCTTGATATGAAAAGGAGTTAAGATTCTCTTCATTCTTTGAGGCTAGACAGTTGTTTCAACATCATATTTAAAAACATGCCTTTTCCCAGAATGGCAGAGACATCTTTGTTGTAAATAATATGAGTTTATGTATCTTAGTCTATTTCTGGACTGTGTCTATCCTTATGTCAATAATGTAATGTTTATATTATAATATGAACTGGGAATTATTTAAACTTAATTTTTCTTTCAGTATGCAGCCTATGTATTTAGAAATTAATTTTTATATTTTACCTTTAGGTAAATGAGGACAAGTTTTTAGTCCATTCTATTTTCTTACTTTAATATCAATCTTACTTGAAGTATATCCATTACAGATATGTGTGTGTATAATGGTTGGAATTCAAAATGATCCCAGTTGAAACCAATATAACTTCAAATTTAGAAGTTAGCTTAAAATGTGCAATTAATCAGTTTGTCTATTTGACCCAAAATAAGATGATGACTTTATGTAGTCCTTGCTTCATAAGAATTCCTGTATGTAGATTTGGGTCAACCTAACATTTAAAACTAAGAAAAACTCAAGGATTTTAACCACAATTTGAGAGGCAGGGCTGGAAGTGATATTTATGGAGAATCTGTTGAGCAGGAGTCTTTCCTTAGCTAGTGTATTAGAACATAACTGGTATTTCTCAGAGTCAGCGGCAGACAGGTATCCTAGATTCTCTTCTTGAATTTGCTACTTGGTAGTTTTCCCATTTGATGATCTTGAGCAAGTTACTTTATCTCTACACTTCAGCTTCATCATTTGTAAAGTGCCAACACATCAGTGATAACATGATATCACGTAGCACAAGAAAACTTTGGGCATGTTTTGAAGTGGTATATGAGAAATGTATATTTGCTATTGGTGATTTAGGTCTAGGCTACTTGCTCCTATTATCTTCTATTGTGTTCTTCCCTTACCATTGCCTGAGATTTCCAGGTGAGAGTGATAGTCAGTATCCTTTCAATATCTCTTTTTCCTCATATCCTGTGATTTCAGGGCTATACACAACGAAGAGTAGCTGCTGCTTAACAGACTAAAGGCCCTACTGATGGTCTCTATTCTGTACTAGTTCATTAGAGTCATATAAATTTTTAACTTGACTCAAGTATTTTGATAACATAGATAAAGCAGAGTATGGAGCTTATAATACAACCTATATATTTTGTCTTTAATTGCTAGCATTTAATGAGCATGTGCTAGGATTTTTTTCTTCACAATAGCTTAGTGATAGCTCAAGATCACAGAGCTGGGATTCGATTACCAACATGGTGCTTCCATAGTCCAAGTTATGGAAGAACCACTATGTCATACTGTCTTATCAATTATTAATCAACCCTCAGTATCAATGTGAGACACCTTAAAAGTGAAGTGTGTTCACTGTTGAGAAAGCAAAAACCCATAATTCCATAATCCAGAGATAATCATTGTTAGGGCAGTTTTCTCCCATTTTTTTCCTATATTGAGCCATTTTCCTGTTACTGATCTTTCAGATTCTTTCCAGTTTTCATAGTATTATAAACAGTGCTGTAGTTATATTTGTAGAAGTGAATTATTGGGTCAAAGAGCATAATCATAAATGCTTAACCATGTACTGATTTCTAGATTATTGTCTGGGAAGGCTTTCCTTCCAACAGAGTTTAAAATTGCCCCATTTAGTTTTGTTTCAAAAATGAGGATAAGAGAAAAATTCTTTTATTTTCTTGGTTGTTCTGTGTTTTGAATGCTGTGGCTTTACTATGCTTCTGCTTTATTTCTGAAAGATATCTGTGAAAATAATTTGTCTCTATTGCAGAATTCTCAACTGGGGGATGGCTTTGCTCCCTAGGTACACCTGGCAATGTCTGAGAATCTTTTTGTCACTAGGTATAATGGTGGTACAAGCATCTACTAGCTAGAGAGAGACCAGAAATGCTGTTAGATCTCCTATAATCCACAGGACACTCCCCACAACAAAGAATTATCCTGTCTAAAATGTCAGTAGTATTGAGGCTAAGAAATACTGCTGTATAGTGAGTTCCTAAAATCTAGAAGAAATCTGTTTATTGACAAGATGCTTTAAACCCTTCTGCTAATTCTTACCCTATTATTTAAGAATAGGAAATTTCATGTTTTTTTGGCTTTAACAACAAAACAGGCAAGTTTTGTTTGGTTTATCTTTGGTTTATTAAGTTCTTCATATTTCAGACATAAAATCTAATGGAATCAATTCTTGGAGAGCTTTCCTAAGCCCCTTTGAACAGTTTAGAAATGTATTCTGTCACTCTCTTAATGATTCAACAGTTGTATCTTCCTTTAGATTTGACTTAGCTGCTTTTTAATTTGGGGTTACTGCTTAAGCATATACTATCTTTGATCCCTGAAACAGAAAAGTAGCAACCTCTTGTGAGAATTAGTATTTAGAATGTCTTTGGAACCTAAACTCAAAACAGCCCCTCCATCATAAGACCTGTTTGCTTGGGAGCTTTTATTTTATTTATTTATTTATTTTTAAAGATTTATTTATTTATACAAGCACTAGGTACAGGCCAGAGGCGCTGGAGGGTGAGAGAATTCACCAGAGCCAGAGCAGGGAGCAGTACAGGCAGAATGACGAAGTACACTGCTGAGGGGAGCAGTGGGAGCAGCAGAAGAGGTCTGTGTGGGACGTTCGCTGGCAGCCAGCGATCGAACCAGCGCTGCAGAGGCTTCGGGCAGCGTCACAGCCCAGCGCTCAACCGCTGTGCCACCAGGGGAGGCCCTGCTTGGGAGCTTTTAAACAGGGTTCAATTTATTACCTTTATTCTTATTTTCATGTATATCACTTTTCTTAATACAGTAAGAAACTACAGTGCCACTCATGATGACATACATAAAAATACCATTAGGACTTATTTCTTTGTCATTAATAGACAGAAAAATGTTTAGTGCCCAAATTCCTCTTTTGACTAGCAATCTTGTCAAGGGAAACATAATAATCTTACCTATGGGAGGGATTCAAGGGGAGGTGCTGAAAGTCATGTTTATTCTTCCTAATTTATTGCCTTTTTATGTAGATTCTGAGAACCTTGTAAATTTCTAAGAATTCTTTTAAATATTTTGCGACTGCTGGAATTGAAATTAACTGTTGTCTTACTCTATTTTTATAGTTCTGTTTTGTCTAAAAAGGACTATTCTTGAGCTTTATCATTTTGTGCTTCACAGGAACCAGCACCTATGACAGAAGATCTGCTAGAAGAGCAGTCGGAGGTTCTAGCTAAATTAGGCACATCAGCAGAAGGGGCTCACCTCCGAGCACGCATGCAGAGTGCCTGCCTGCTCTCAGATATGGAATCTTTTAAGGTCGGTCACACTATGAGAACTACAGGATTTTTTTTTTTGAAGATTTATTTATTTATGCATATAAGAACTGGGGCACAGGACAGAGGTGTGGGGGGTGAGAGGATCCACCAGCGACAGAGTGGGGAACAGAAGGAGTGGACTGACTGAAGTACACTGCTGAGGGGAGCAGCAGGCGGGGCGAGTCAGATGAGGTCTGCTGCGCCATGTGGGCCGTTCCCCAGCTCCCCATCTGACTGGGAATGGAACATATGCTGCAGTGGCTGCATAGGTTGTGTCTTAACCCCTTGCGCCACCAGGGAGGCCCCCTCCAGGATCTATTTTGAACTATTATGGGATGAAGCTGTGGATGTCACTCTATAAAGTGGTATGAGCACCTGAATGACTTTTTTATTAACTGTTTTTATTTCACCAATAGTTACAGCACCCTACTTTCACTCCCTAAAGGTTGTAGTACAACTTCTTAAGTTTAACAAATTTGAATAATGGTTAAAAGTTAAAATTGAATCATTTCTGTATGTGTATCAGAATGGTTTCTTCCTTTGTGTGTGTTCAGCCAATCTAATGCAAGGCCTTTAGGAAACCCTTAGGATTTAATATAGCTCAATAAACCTATAAATACTGTGACTTGCATTATGATTAAGTAAGTAAAAAATACAGTGTTTATCCTCAGAGTATACTGAGGTTGTGGGAGAAGGTATGTAAAGAAAGATATGTAAAGGAGTATTTGTGAGACCTTCACTTATGAAGGCAAGGTCAGAAGGTAACTGACTACTGAGCAGGTCATGGAAGGTTTCTTAGAATTCACCATTTAGGTTGAGTAGGCAAATTTGCTTCCTAGAGAAGAATTTTGGGCTTAGATACACACATGTATCTACAACATAGAAAATTGAGAGAATGGTCATGTTTGGCTTATTAGCTTAAAAACACAGGAATTAAGAACTGACTTTTGCTTTTTAAGTTATTTATTCTTGAAAACAGAGATAAGTCTGTTTATCAAACAACAAAAACCCAAGTGGGTAGCCTAGTGGGCCACAGGGCTTCCCTTTCCAATTGCTGCTGAATTATCTCAAGGCACAGGCTTTTCTCCTTAACTTGCTGCTGCTGTGATGGCCTCCATGTCCCCATTTCATAGTCCCCATTCAGTCCTTCTTTTTGCTATGTAGGCCATGCTGAATTTGCTTTTTCTACTTGAATACCCCATGAAAACCTATGCCACTTTTATCTTCCCTGTTAGCAGATTTAAGTGACAATAAAAGGGAGCTTTTTTATTCCCTGCTTATTTTTCCCATCTAAAAAATCTTCAGTAAACCTCTCAAGCTGCATGTTTTCATTAGAGACTAAAAATGTACAAAAAAATGTGTCTATTCTCTGAGAAAAGAGAGAGATGTTGTTTTTTTTGTTTGTTTTTTTAAAAGTTGGTACAGTGAATAAAAGCCAGCTGGCTCTTACGGTGTATTTTAAATCAAAAAGGTAGAGAAGGGTATTGGTTTAGAGTGTGTATGCACAGCAGGAAATACTAGCCTCCACAGCAGCTATTTTTCTCCTGACCTCCACCTGCTTTCATATTTGTCTCTGCCTTTCCTGCTATACTGTGCCTGCAGAAGCATGTACAGGAGGAAATTCCAAATTGGAACTGTTGAAAATTTCCCCACAGAAACATATTGGCACGTCATCTTAAGGGTCTATAAAATTTCTTTAACACTGTTCCATCAAAATTGTGGTTTCTTAGACACTTGGACTAACCTTGGCACCTACAATTTTCTTTTGTTTGTTTTTATTAGAAATTCTTTTATTTTTTAATTTTTTTTAAACGCTCTTTATTTTTTTTATTTTTTAAAGATTTATTTATTTATTTATACAAGCACTGGGTACAGTCAGATGTGGAGGGTGAGAGAATTCACCAGAGCCAGAGTGGGGAACAGAACAGGCAGATGGATGAAATACACTGCTGAGGGGAGCAGTGGGCGGCAGGAGAGGTCTGAGCGCCATGTGGGACCCTCACCCGTGGTGGGGGATTGAACTGTTGCTGCAGAGGCTGCAGGCAGCTTCGCAGCCCAGCGCTCAACCCCTGCGCCACCAGGGGAGGCCCTAGGAATTCTTTTAATCAGAAAATAGATTGTATTTCAAGTAGCCAGCTTATACATCTGCCCCATGTGGGTATCAAATTATATATTTAAGGAAACATGTAGTCACTCTAAAATAAATATGGTTGCCTTTCCTCTTTCATATAGAGATGATATGGTTTTAGGGGTACATGGGAGAGTCCCCAGAGCTTTGAATGAATGCTGACATATACTTGAGGTACCTACATCTTCCATTCCAGAAGGGCAGAGTCTTTACTTAAGCATAGCTTTGTAGTACATGCCTGTAACAACAGAATGAAGATAAACCATAGCTGAAGTAAGCCTTGACCTTCTGGTAGCTATATGTTCAGTCTTATATAGCAAAACCAAGAAGAAATAATTCTGGTGTGAAATATTTAACACATTCTGTAGTGTAGGAGTCAAATATTTTCTTTTTTTTTCTTCAGTTTACTCTCTTCCCTCCAGGCCTCTCTCTCTAGTTTCCTAAGATGTTTTCGTGTGTGTGTGTGTGGTGTTGTCTGATTAATATCCGTATCTTTGTACAGGAATCCTGGAGTCATTCTGTAATCTTGATCCATTGTAGTTCACAGCAGTTCTTTGTTGCCATGATGCCATAGCCCTTAGAAGTTTATATTGTTCATTGTCAGTTAATGACCCTCCTTTATTCCTCATCCCCTCAGGGGGATTTCTTAAATTGGTTATGATGATTAAACTGGTAGCTTCTGAGCTCAACCAGGAAAAATGAGCAGTTTTGCCTTTCACATTTAAGACAGAGCATTCAATTTATGTTTTTATTTTGTTCGGAGGCTAATGTAATTTAAAAAAAGAAAATGACCATCTTATTAGCACTTTTTTTTATTGCTTACCTCACTTACTCTTTCAGGCAATTAAATATGATACTTAAAGCTGGAAGAATATGTTGTGGTAAAAGATCTCCATGCTTTACCATTAACACTGTGAAACCTCTACTTTTTTTTTCAGGCTTGAATGTAAAATTACTAAAAGGATTTTGGTATGCTTCATCATTAATTATATAGAATTGTCCACTAAATAAAATTTTAAATAGTTTGTTTTCAAAACTTGAAAAACAGTAGGTTAAATTCCACTTAACAAAAGCAGTTTATGCTTTTGTTATGTAAAGCACAAAAATTTGATGCTGAATAGAAGAACATTTTGAGATTAGCTGATATTATCGCAGTACCAGTATTGATTTATTGTGGGAAACAGAGCATAACTTTTCCATCATTGTGTTGTTGTTTGGATCATGTCATATATTATTTGATTTACTCAACTTGAGTTTCTTTGATACTTTTCTCAGTATTGAGTAGTCATTATACTATAATTTTAAACTAACTTAAAAAAACTTAGAATCTGCTTAAGAGAATTACTTTAACTTTAGATTAAGTTTTTATTTCCAGATTCATCAAATGAAAATATTTTCTTTTTCCATAAAATAGAGACATCAAAAATAAGATGGTTTTGGTATTATACCATCTGGATTGTTTCAATAGTAACACACAAACTAATGTCATATATTAGATTTTGTAAAGATTAGGTAGACTTTTTGTGAAAGGAAATGTATGCTTTTGCAGTAGGTTTATCAGTACCCATTGATTTTATTTTATTCTGTAAACTTTTGTCATATTTTAGGCAGCGAATCCAGGTTGTCTTCTGGAAGATTTTGTGAGGTGGTACTCACCCCGGGATTATATTGAAGAGGAAGTGACTGACGAAAAGGGCAACACAGTTTTGAGAGGAGAACTGAGTGCCCGAATGAAGATTCCAAGCAATATGTGGGTAGAAGCCTGGGAAACAGCTAAGCCAATTCCTGCTAGAAGGCAGAGGAGACTCTTTGATGATACACGGGAAGCAGAAAAGGTAACTTAGTGTGGGTATCTAATACTAAAATGCTAATTATTCTTCTAGCTTTTTGAAGACCTTGAACACACTTGAGAAGCAAGGCATTAATGAGCTGTTTCTATATCTACTATTAAGGTTTAAAACTAGCTGCAAATACACCAAAGAATAAGACATGCATATTTTATTTTATTTATTTTTTTATTCCTAAACAATATTTATGGACACAGGAATTTGAATTTCGTGTTTCACATGTCACAAAATATTTTTCTTTTGATTTTTATCCTCAATAATTGCAAATGTAAAAGCGTTCTATTCTTAGCTCATGATCCATACAAACAGGCTTGGCTTGTGGGCTGTAATTTGCTAACCTTGGTCCAAACAATATGGGTTTTTTCATATTTATTCTCATACACTGCTGACTACTCACAACATACCTGGCACTGAACAAATGTTTGCTAAAATGAATCATATGGAGACAAATACTTTTCATTTTATGTTATCATCCATCACAAATGGTAGTGGTGTGATAGAGTATAATTTTTTTAAATTTATTTCATATATATTTTACATCAGTGTTTATTTTTGTACAATATATCCTTTCTTCTCTCAGGTGTAATCCCCATAAAATTCCCACCACCAATTCACTAGTGCACCATCAGCATATTCCCTTGTGCGCTTCTTACCCCTGTTTTGATCCTTCACCATCCTCCTCCCCTACAGAATGTCTCTGATTTATAATTGCCTGTTGATTTTGATTTTTAATTTATTATTATTTTCTCCCCCCTGGCCCCTTTCATGTTTCCTCTACATTTCTCCTATAAGTGAAACCATCCAATATTTTTCTTTTTCTTTCTGACTTATTTTACTGAGCATAATCCCTTCCAGCCCCATCCATGTTGCTGTGAATGGCATGAGTTTATCTTTTTTGATTGCTGAGTAATATTCCATTGTGTATAGATACCACATCTTCTTGATCCAGTCATTATTTTGGGGCATTTAGGTTGTTAACATAGCTTATCTATTGTAAAAAGTGCTGTAATAAATATAGGGATGCAGGTGTCCTTTTGAATTAATGTTTTTGTGTCCTTTGGGTAGATTCCTAGGAGTGGAATTGCTGGGAATTCCACTAAAAGTGGAAGCTCCACTTTTAGTAGTTTGAGGAACCTTCACACAGCTTTCCATAGTGGTTGGACCAGTTTGCATTCCCACCAGCAGTGTAGGAGAGTTCCTTTTTCACCACATCCTTGCCAACATTTGTTGTTGCTGGTTTATTTAATATGAGCCATTCTCACTGGCATAAGGTGGTATCTCGTTGTGGTTTTGATTTGCATTTCCCTGATTACAAGAGATGTTGAACATTTTTTTATATGTCTGTTGGCCATTTGCATTTCCTCCTTGGAGTTGTGTCTTTTTAGTTCTTCTGCTCATTTTTTGACTGTATTGTTTGCTTTGTTTTTGTTGAGTCTCCTCAGCTCTTTGTAGATCTTTGTGATCAGTCCCTTATCAGTTGTATGGTGTGCAAAGATTTTTCTCCCAGTCAATAGGGTATCTCTTTGTTTTGGTTAATGTCTCTTTTGCTGTATAGAAGCGTTTTAGTTTGATGTAATCCCCGTTGTTTGTCTTTTCCTTCACTTTCTTTGCTTTGGGGAGTGAGTCTTTAAAGATGTTACTGAGATGTAAGGACATGCATATTTTATATAGAATGCTTACCGTTGGACTATCTCAATCTCACAGTATATGTCAAAAGCCTTAAAAGTGGTCATACTCTTTGATCTAACAATTCTATGCCAAAAAATTTATTAGGGAAATACATAAAGATAAAGATAGAAGAATGATGTTCAATAAAGTTCTTCAGTGAAAATATAATCACAATTTTAGTTTCCAGAAATAGGGCTTGGTATAATAGAATATGTCATAAATATTTAGTGGATTATTTTGCAACTATTAAAAAACATTTGGAGTTCTGGAAAATGGTGGCAACTACCTAATATCAAATTGCCCCCACATCCTCCCACCTACCTGCCTACCTACCTTCTCCAAGCCATATGAAATTAATGAGTAAATAAATCCATGTTTTAGACATCACTAGACGGTAGAGATTGACTTTTAAATCAACAATAAGTAAAAAAGCCAAATTCCAGTTGAGTCCTACTGTGGGTGTGAGAGAGTAGAGACAGGGGATCTTAAGAAGAGCTGAGGATACAGAGGACTTGGAGCCCAAAGGTACTGAGAAAGAGAGAGCCTAATGCCAGGTGCCAGAGTACTCAGTACTCAATAACGGTAGAACTTGTTAGTTCATAGCATTTGCTACAGGAAAGGGACTTGAAGGTAATTAGGATCGGAAGTGGAAGAAAAGAGAGAGGCTGCCTTGACAAAAATCAGATATATGCAGAAAGAATGATACCCTTATAGATAAAACAATGATGGGAAAGAAGGAAATAGGGAAAATTAAGGATCCTTCAGAAATGAAAGCGAAGTAAGACGTATCAACTTTCCCACTCCTTGCAATTCATTAAAGAAAAAAGGGACCTCCCTGATGGCACATGGGCTAACATCTCAGCACTGTCAAGTTATCTCCAGCCACTGCAACCTGAGTTCAATCCCCTGACCAAGGAGCTAACCCACATGGTGTAGCAGACCAATCCTGTCTCCTCCGCTTCTCCCCTCAGCAGTGTATTTCAGTAGATCCGCCTGTTCTGCTTCCCACTCTGGTGAATCCTCTCATCCCCGTACCTCTGACCTATACCCCAGTTCTTGTATGATTAAATAAAAATTTTTAAAGGAGCTGCAAAAGAGGATTACTTTCAAACTGACATTATTACAAATAGTAAAAAATGTGACCAGCTAATATTGACGTGAGGCCAGAAGTGCAGGGGTAAAATAATTCACCAGAGTTGAGAACAGAAAAAGCAGATTTATTGAAATACCGTATAAGAGAGCAGGGGACAAGAGAGGAGATATCATTGGAGGAAGATTTATAACCTGTTTTCATCTGCTTTTTATGACTAAAGTAATCTCTGCTGGTTGTTATCCGCTGAGACATCAGGTTTCGATGGACCTTCGCACAGAAAGTGTCCTACCTGGTTCTGTTTGCCCTGTTTCCACATTTCTGGGAATTCTTGATAGCCCCCTATTGGTCATGTGGACCCATGGCCAGGTTCCCATGGCAATTCTATCAGTTTTCCTTTCTAAATGTATTTTGTGTCTCCCAGCATTGTTCAGCTGAGCAAATGGCAGATACTAAGTTTTAACCATATTAAATGATATCTCGACAAAGAACAGACCACTTCTATATGAGTATGAAAACCAGGAAATACAAATTGAATCCTTTCAGTTAATGAAATATTTCCCAGAATATTGACCCACAAGCAAAAGAAAATTATAACATAACACTCCAAATTCAATCAGATATCGTCAAACAAGCATGGAGGGGTATATAAAAATAATGTTTAATCGGAAATACTAAAACCAAGAACAGAAAGAAGCACAAAAACCCACAAAGAAATGAAACTACAGCTGGTTAACCTAGGATAGAATTAGAAGAAAAAAGCAACCATATCAAAAATAAAGACTAAACTCTAAGAGACCAAAGGGAGAATAGATTCATATTTAAATTTAATACAAGTCAACAAGGAAAAACAGACAAGAAAATGAAATTGAGATAAGGGAATAAGAGGGGTTGAAAAGAAAGTAGTAGAAATGAAAGATAAAGTAGGAATAGTGTTCATTTTATTATATGTGAAGAAAAAAAATCAAAACTCTAGAACGGAACTAATATTTAAAACTGCAATCCTGTTTTAATGTTATGTGATGTATATAAAGCCTTATTTAAATAAAATTGCAGTCTAATGAAACATTCTAGAAATAAAGTAAACGTGAATTTATATATTGCAAGAGATCTCACATGATGAAGAGGGAAATTGACCAAGAGTAATGAACTTTGAAATATATCACTGTAAAATTACTAGGCTTTAAATATATATATATATATAAATTCAGGATCTTCCAGCAAAAATATGAAAATATCTTAAAAAGGAAAAAGAGATAGGTTATTCAAAAGCAATGTACAAAGCAAGGCAAAGTAGAACAGCATTTTCAAAGAAATGTAAGGAAAATATATAAACCAGATACTGTGTCCTGCCAAAATATCTCAGTATCAAGATTATAAAAAAGTATTCTCTGAAGATTCTTATGGAATCCACTGAAACTGTCCAGTCCAATAGAACTTTTTGCAGTGTTAAAAATGTTCTATAGCTGTACGCTATTCAAAATAGTAACCAGGGCCTCCGTGGTGGCACAAGGGGTTAAGCAAAGAACTGTGAAGCTATCCCAGCCTCTGCAGTGCCAGTTCGATCCCCTGCCAGCCAGGGAGCAACCCACGTGGTGCAGCAGACCTCTCCTGTCTCTCCCGCTGCTCCCCTCAGCAGTTTATTTCAGTTACTCTGCCTGTTCGGCTCCCCATTCTGTCTGGTGAATTCTCTTACTTCCTGTACCTCTGGCCTGTAGCCCAGTTCTTGTGTGCATAAATAAATATATCTTAAAAAAATTTAAAAAGTTAAAAAAAAATAGTAACCAAGGCCATATGTGATTTTAATAAGCATTGAAATGTGGCTAGCAAACATAGAAATTGTATTTTTGAATGGCTGCTTGTGACTGGTTACTGCCTTACTGAACAACAAAGTAAAAGAGGTTGACTTTCATTCAGCCTGAGATTAATGAGGAAACTGGCAAAGGGCCAATTATAAACATTTCATTTATTTTAAAACTGAGAATAAAACTACGTGGAGACATGAATAGAAGAATAATTAGTGAAAATTATATGAAGGGATAAATTAGAAAGAATGTGACGAAACAGGTGAGGCCAAAGAAAGAGAGGAGACTGTTCATTGACTGATCCATAAATAGTAGGTGGTAATCAGAGGATACTATTTAAAATGGTCAGCATACAGGAAGGGATGGAGAACAAGAGAAGTAGGGGAGAAAAAAGGGGTGAACACAACGTATTATGGTGGACATTTATGGATGACTTGGTGGGAGACCTGTCGTGACCACACATGAAGGGAGAAATTCTTTATCCTTTATCGTGGAAAACAGGAACAAAGATGTAAAATAACAGTAGTTCAATAAAAAAAAGTTAAAAAATTTGTCAGATCAGATGTAAAAACATCTGCTATATAAGGAAGTTAAGGGTAGCATGAAAGATATTAAAACAAGGATATCTAATACAAACTTTCCTAAGTACTAAGAAAAATTTTTTAAAAGAACACAGTAGTGAAACATACATGATAAAATCACATCATACACAGAATTATAATATGCAAGTTTGTTACCATTGTCATTTCTTTCAATATCAATTCATTATAACATTGATGAGGAAAAAAGCCATCTTGAATGTCAAATGAAAGTATTTTTCAAAGACCTACCGTAGTCCTATGTTGTTTCATGTAAAGTTGCAGTTCAAGACCCCATCAACAATGTTAAGTGAACTTTCTGTGGAAGATAGTCATATGAAATCAATTCTCTGCTAATGAAGGAATTCACTGACTCAGAAAGGCTACAAAATAAACAATGGACCCATATTTGCCAGGCGAATGAAAACAAGCAGGCATTGTGATCCTGATATCAAAGGAGAACTAAAGCAGAAAAGCATTAATTGAGATAAACATGAATACTTTATATACTAAGTGATAACAATAAGGATTTAATTGTTGTGGTTGTTTATGATACAGCTATCATTTTAGCCACTATACACAATAGAAAGCATAGGAGATGCACAGAGAAACAGATCAACATATACTAATAATGAGGACTTTTAACACATTATTCTAGTACAAGTCAGTCAAGTGGACCTAAATTCAGTAGTAAGGTTGATCCTTTATATATAGCTCAAACACTGCACCTGAACAATACTGTGTTTTCAAGTACACGTGAAACATTCAAAAACTTGATATTAGAGCACAAGGAAAATAGAAGTAGGTTTCATAATAGAAACATAATCAATATCTGCAGTAAAACTAGAAAATTAGAGATTTTCAATTTTTATGTCTAGTTTTAACAAATACTCCAGGCCTTCTACCTGGAAATTTGAAAACCTTGTGTTAGACAAGTAGGGGTAGGGGGTAGGGGAAATACAAAATAAATTATATAATTTTTGGAGGAGATGGTAGGACTTGAAGGAAAGTATGAATTCTATACTAGGAAAGCTAATTCTACTTTTACTAGAAATTAGAAGGAAATCGTAGAGTGGCCGCCTCAAAGAGGCCTTGAGAGCTTAGACAATAGATACGTAAGCAGAAGTCAGTGGGAGCAAGTAACCAATTACTGTAAAGGCTTTTTTGATGCTTTGTAAGTGTAATTATTATTTTACGTGTATTTGATGTCTTTTAAAACTCTGGAACAAAAATGCTGCATTGTTAATTGTTATCTCTATGTGGTATAATTTGCAGATGGTTTTTGTTTGCTTTATATTTTCCTAATTTGCATGTATTACATAAGGAAACAGGAAAAAAAACATGAGAATATTCACCATTATTAGAGACTGAAGTTCTTAGGTGTTTTCAGTAACTTTATTCTTATCTTTAGAAGTAGTAGCTACTTAATTTGAATGAGGAGGATAGGTACTACGTGAAGAGAGCTTTTCTCCACTCTTGTCACATATGTGAGTTCAGTAGGCCAGAGGATTTTTTACTTTTGTAAACAGCTGCTTTATTTAACTTCACTGATTTTTTTTTTTTTAAACATAAACTTGGGCCTCCTTCAGGTGCTGCATTATCTGGTAGTTCAGAAACCTGCAGACCTTGCTCGGCATCTGTTACCTTGTGTAATTCATGCAGCAGTACTCAAGGTAAAGGAAGAAGGTAAATGTCTTATTTGATTAGTAATTTAGTTCATTACCAAAATGAAAGTATATTTTGCCTACCTTATTTAATGATGGCTTTGATCTTTTTTAAAAATAGAAAATCTGGAAAACATTTCTTCAGTTAAGAAGATTATAAAGCAAATAATATCCCATTCCAGTAAAGTTTTGCATTTCCCCAATCCAGAAGATAAGAAGTTGGAAGTAAGTGATATCATATCAGGATCTTGCTAAGTGTTCTCCCCTGTTGGCAATAATTATTTTAAAAAATGCAATGTTTAAAGGCTTTGCTTTTTTGTTGGCTTCCAATGTATGTCTCTCCCTTTCCTGCTGTTAGGAAATCATCCATCAAATTACTAATGTGGAAGCTATAATTGCAAGAGCCCGTTCACTAAAAGCCAAGTTTGGAACTGAAAAATGTGAACAAGAGGAGGAAAAGGAAGATCTTGAAAGGTAATTGCTGTTTGACTAACTCAGTTTTGTCTGCAGTAGGAAAAGCCATCAATCTGTTTAGAAAAAAAATTTTTTTTGAAGATTTATTTATTTATTTATTATTTATACAAGCACTGGGTATAGTCGGAAGCGCGGGAGGGTGAGAGAATTCACCAGAGCCAGAGCGGGGAGCAGAGCAGGCAGAAGGACTGAAGTACACTGCTGAGGGGAGCAGCGGGCGGCAGGAGAGGTCTGTGCGCCATGTGGGACCCTCCTCCGGTGGCTGGGGAGCAGCCAGGGATCGAACCGGTGCTGCAGAGGCTGCGGGCAGCTTCGCAACCCAGCGCTCATCCGCTGTGCCACCGGGGAGGCCCCTGTTTAGAAAAATTTTAATAGGATATTGAGATTCTTTTATGGTATATTTATACTACTTGTAACAAGCACTTACTATAGACAAAGAACTGTTTAATTATTGTAGGGTTTGACTTCTACTATATTTCTGAGTATTTGCGAGGTGTTTCCCTTTCTCCTACCAGTTCTCTGTTTCTAGGAATTTTCTTGTTTGCTCTTGGAGATAGATGTAGGGCCTACAGTTTCATGTTGAGAAATTATTCACTCCTTGTTACTCAAAGTACTCCAGAGCTTTTCTTTCCGTTCTTACTGATCTTAGCCACAGTTGAGGTATTCTGAAACTGTATTTCTGTTCTTTATTTCTGGTTATTAATGTAAATTTAAGCAAGGTTTGTGGTAGCAAAAGTGAACATCCTGTGTACCTTATGAATACGTTTTGACAGAGTAACTTTGTGGCTTCTCCCAGATGAGGAAAATGATTGGGGCAGTCTTTTCCTCCTTCTGAGATTTGACACTGTTAGCAGTGGATCCTGTTAATGTTGAATCCTTGTTCATTTTTGCCTGTAGTGCTTGAAAGGACATTGTTTTAGTATGTGATAAAGTATTTCCAAATTAGCTAGTTCAGTTGATTGAATTTATCATAACTTTAAGTTGTTCATAATCTTTCCATAAAAAATAGAATTATTGATGCTAAATATTTAATATTAGCCTAACAAGGCATTAGTAGAGCTTTTACCAAGTTCTTGTTTGAATTTTGTATCTTTTGAGTAAAATTTTCTCCCAGTCTACTTTGCTCTCAAGAATTTCCTTCCTTTTAAATGAACAGAATAAAAATCAATTAGAGAATAATTTCTAAAATTTCTAAAATAGCAGTATGAATTAATTATGTACCAGTGAGCATGTGGTACATACTGGCTTGGGTGGCTCTGTGACTTTGACTCTGTTAGCTCCACTATACATTACCTGTAATATACTTAGAAGTACAGTGTTTCGAACAAACAATGGCACAGTTTGCAATTGACACTTTGCCCAGAAAAACATATTTTAAGCAAGTGTGCATCTATACTCTAAAGGAATAAAACCAAAAATCTGGATCACTATTTTGCTGTATGAGTAACACTTGGTTTTTGTTGTCCAGAATTTTTTTTTTATCTTATGTTTACTGTAGTGTTTTCTAAGCTTCTAGTCTGAAAGAAATATACTGAGTATTTCTATGCTTTGACAGAGATAGATCCTGTGACAGTTAGGCAGTCATATTGTCATCTGAGTTTAATTCCTAATGTCTGTCTATGTTGTTACAAAATTTCCACATTTGCTTGATAGATTTAGCCAGTATCAATTTGAGAATTTACCCACAGAATTAATCTAGGAGGACTGACACAATGTGAACTATGCAGCTCCTTTTTATCTTTTCATTACTTCTCTCTTCTAGGTTTGTAAGTTGCCTTTTGGAGCAGCCTGAGGTGTTAGTCATTGGTGCAGGAAGAGGGCATGCTGGCAGGATCATTCACAAGCTGTTCATGAATGCTCAGAGGGTATGTGAGATTTATCATTGATTATATCATGATCTCTCTAGATCGCTACTCAGTAAGATGGCTGTTTTGATTTCACACATGGTTAGGTTCAAACATTAAAGTAATAGTAACTTCTGAGTCTTTGAAATTCTTTTGCTTTCTTACACATTTGAGTAAAATGGTAAGTTTATTTTAGGATATAAATTTCAGAAATTAGAAAGGTCTGAAATCCCTTGGCTTGGTTAACAATGGCTAATGCTAGGCTGCAGAAAAAATGTTTATGCCTTTCAAATTAGAATAGAGGCCAGTCTTACCAATTTTAAATTCCTTGTACTGCAAATGAATCCATAGATCTAACTTTAGAAATTTCCTAGAAAGGAAAAGCAGGTTTCAGATTTTTAGGACTATGAAAATTTAGGCTTCAGCACAGAGAGAAAGCTTGATTTGAAAATTATCTTCACTGTTATATATTTGAAGTTTTAAAAAATTAAAATTTGATTTTTAGGAAAGTGATATTAGTAATACTCTGTGCTCACACTCTCTGTACTGATCTTATTTATTGGTTAAGAATTGCTGGCATCCCACAGATGATTCTCATGTCAGGGCTCATTAGTATTAAAGATTCTGGTAAAAGTAGTATGAAGTGTACTAAATACAGGCTGACTCCCTTACCTTGCATTGTGATGACACTGTAATGACCCAGCTTTTAAGGATGTAATTCTAAGAATCAAATAAGATAAAGAATTTTCATTAAGTCTACACATGAAGTAATAATTTCATAATCTCTTTGAGTTGGTCTGGAGTATATCTAGTTAATATGTTCAAAATCATAGCCAGATCTACTCATCTGAATTTTTAGGAAGAACTAAAACCTGAGATTATTTAAGGGATAACTTCTTAAATTTACAAATTTCAGGTTAAAAACCAAGTGCTGTATTTCTTTATAAATTAGAGTTTTAGAAAACAATAGATATGTACTTTCATTTATTTTGGTTTTTGCCTCTGGCAGGGAACCAAGAACTGAATTTGTTTTCACATACTATAATAACTTTATCAGCTTAGATCCAGAAGTTTGTAACACATTTCCTTGTTAGCAACAATATGAATTTTCCTCATATTGCAAAAACCGTCTCCTTTTTCCTCATTTATTAAAACTTGTCTTAGGACAATTTGAAATCTGAAGTTTTATATTTTTATAAAACTGAGTGTGTTATTTGTAATGATTACATAAAATTATTTCCCCCAAAGTGGAAATTGCATTTTCCCCCTCTGATTGTAAGTAAAGGTTCATTGTGAAAATTTGGACAGTACAGGAAATTATATTAAATATTAGTCATATCTTACTACCTACTGTTTACTCTCAGCATTTAACATCTAGTGTATACACTGTATATTTTGTAAAAAGTGGATTATATAATTTACTTTGTTTTTGTTCTCCACTTAACCTTTCTATATCAGTAAATATAGGAGTGTGTCATCTTCGTAATGACCTCATTTTGTAGTTGATCCCCTTTAACAGATACTGAAATTATAAATTTATCCCATATTAGGCAATTTTAAAACATTTCAAACTTTTAAATCATGCAATGAATGTTTTTAGGGAATTGACAGACTGTCATTCACATAACAAGTAGCTGGTTTATTCATTTTTAAATTCAATCCTTAGGTGTATGGCTAAAGTAAATTATTAAAGTCCATTCGTGTAACTTCTCTTTTCATAATTAACTGATACATCCATTTTATTAAAAATGGGTGTTAATATTTTTAATAAGTTACAATGAAAAACATTGAGAATTTTTATAGTATATATTAAAGTATACATTAATTTTATTTATACATTATAGTATACATTAATTTTATATATTTTTGAATTTTTCCTTAAAATTTTGCATTTTAATATACTTCATGATTACATGTGTCAATGGCATAAATGTATCTAAATGAAGTTTAGCAATCAGACCACTGATTGGATTTTGCTTCAGTCTTGCTAAATTGAGTAACTTTGAGACACCTATTAAATTCAAACCCATTTTGAAGCCATTGCACTTTTTTTTGCATCTGAATTCTTCAATAAAAGAGCTAGATTTTTGTTGAATCATTCCCCCATTTAAATTACACTCTGTCACCTGTTGAACCATCAGATCCATGAGTTGAGTGATGGGATGTGTGCTTAGTTTGACAAGCAAGGTGTGTTGTATTGTGTGTGTTTGTCTTGATTTCTTTTGATAGGATCATATTTCTTGATGTAGTGCATGCTGTCTCTGAAATAATCTTAAAATCTCTTGTCTAGCTCTTTTTAATCCATCTTGCTTGTTTCCCTTTCATCACTGTTTCTTTTCTCACCCTTTTCTCAAGCTGACTGAATCTTCTGATGAGGTAACAAAATAGCCTTTGTCCCTCATAGTTCCTTGTTCCTTCCCATCCCTGTAACTTCATAAGGTCATTAAGACTAACCACCTCTTTAACAGTCTGGATTTGGCATTCCCTTCTTGCTGATGTTTAGTGTAACATGATTTCATGTTTTTATTGTCAAAACAATTATTTTTCCCAATCAATATTGTCAAGTGTGGTGGTCAGAGAAATGAAAGAAGTATAGTGATCAGAGTTAAAAATGAAAGCTCTAATTGAATATGTATTTTATAAAATTTTAATGAAAAAATAGATACCTTAAATATTGAGAACTTCTCTTTTGTGACCATTGTTACATGGACCTCTGCCACTTCTATATCTTATTAGCTACCCAGCAAACAAAGTCATCATCCCCAGTATTAAATTGGCAAGGGAACCTTAAATAGAATCAGTTTAAATAATCAGTATAAAAACCATCTTTTCCTGGCTCTGGAGAGAAGCAGCTCATTACTAGACTGAGGACATCACACTTCGAGTTGGGTCATTGCTAGAAGAAATGTATATAAACCAGTGTAGGTCCACTTTCCCTTTTCATCAGATGTCTAATATGACCTTTAGCCCTCACTTTTCAAGCAGATTGCTTGGCAGTCATTATCCCTTCTGACACTGTCACCAATGTATTTGTATTCTCTGGCTGTGCATGCCACTGTTTCTTACATTTTTTCTGTGTGTTGTGGTTTTTTTTCGAGTGCTCATAACATGCATTAACTGCATTACTGAGTAATGTAGGACATTTTAATGTTTTTGTCGTATTTTTTCATCTGTCCTTTAAAATGATCTAAGTGTAGCACTTGACTCGCTGTTGAATTTAGCAATTTGATTCTATTCAAGGCTGCAGCTGCATCTCCACCAGAGGAAGAACTGAGGAGAGTGGGCTCCCCAGAAGAAAGAAGGCAGAACTCCACGTCAGACTTCCCACCCCCTGCTGGCCGGGAACTCATTCTGCGCACTACTGTGCCCCGCCCTGCTCCATACTCGCGAGCTCTGCCTCAGCGCATGTACAGTGTTCTCACCAAAGAGGATTTCAGACTTGCAGGTGCCTTTTCATCAGATACCTCCTTCTTCTAATTCTACCAGGGTTACCTCATCTGTTGTTTCAGAGGCCTTGCTGGCCCCTTCTGTAGGGGGAGATTGTGCCAGTTAGAACCCGAAGAGGCCATGAAGAGGGCTTGTCCGGTTGAATGATGGAGAATCATACCAGCATCTGGAAGACTTTCCAGAACCAAGCTTGGATTCTGTTTTATCTTGCAGGCAGCAGAGGGGATGGGCTTGAGCTATTGAAAGATTTTTTTGCCCCAAAGAGATGACTCAAGTTTTGGGGGGAAGTGAGACACGAGAAACAAAACAAAACAAAACAAACAACAGGAGCTCTCTGTATTCATCCTGGTGGAACTGGTGTTCATTTCATTCTTTCCACGACTAGCCCTGCATTCATAGTCTGTGTAAACACTTGTTATATTTATTAGTATCAAGTATGCAGAATGCAGTATCTGTTAACACAGTTTTCTGGATATTTTGGTGGTAGCCTCTATTCCCGGAATCTGTATTTTTAAAATACTAAATGACATTCTGTTTATTCAATCACCTCTTGATCATCTTCACTGTAACAATTAACTTTTGATGAGTATTTTGAATATTCTAGGAGCAAATTAGAATCTCACATAGTTTATGTGTTTTTCCATGTAACTGTGACAGATAAATGTATTCCTTCTGATAACAATATATATTAAATATCACTGCAAATTAGTTTTATATTTATCTTGTAAGTTTTGTTTCTCTTGTTCTTGATTGCCATGTAAGATGTCAACCTGCAAATTATTGTTTTCTTCCTGCTGTACAGCATGCATTCCTTTTTTGTGGTTGCTGGCTGGATACTGTATTTCATGAAGTAGTGTTGAGCACACTCTAAAAATATACTCTTGATACATAGAGATTATCATGCAGTCAGTATAATTAGATATGTGCTAGTGTAATGAATAGAACATTATTTCAATGCACTATTTTGCTTTTGTATTTTAGGTGAAATGAAAATAATTGGTGGGGATGTGTAGCATCCAGCATAACAACATTTTTGTACTTAGGTGTTCATCAAGATTTACTAAGTCTGTGTTGCTGTCTCACCTCTGTTCAGTAATGTTAAATATATTTTTAGGCCTGACATTCCCACTTTAATCCAAAGTAAAAAATGCTTATACTGAAGCATAGACCTATGTAACTTTAAAGAATGAATAGAGCCATGTAAACTTTGTGTTATATATTATTTTTTGTAAAAAACAAAAAACCCAAAAAAACTGTGTGTGTACACATGTATGTGTGTATATATACATATGTATATTTGAACTAGGGATGATGATTTCTGGTCTTCATCTCAGATGTTGGATTTAGTTGTTGCTGGGAAACCATACAGACACAGACCTGAGGACTGAGTGTTGTGCAAAGTAAGAAGGTGTGTCATTCACGGACAGAGTTTGCTTTCTAATGAGGAAGTTAGTAACAAAACATTTTACAAAAAGAGGTTGGACTTTCAAAAGGTTGTGAATTTAATAAAAAGGAAAGTGCTGCTTTCTCTGGTTAATTTTCTCCCCCTCCGGTGGGCATTTTGTTACTATATTAGTTTTATGCTATCTCAGATCTTCATGAATATTTGCAGCCTGCTGAGTGTGACAAGAGTCTCATAAACACTTTTTTGTTCCTTTTTTCAAATGGCAATTGTCCCATTTTACTGTTGTTTTAGTTTTATGTGTTTATGTCACAGATATTTTTAAGTACCTGCTTTGTATCAAATACTGTACTAGGCATTGAAGAAACAGAAACTGAAACACATTCCCTCCTTTCATTGACTTTCCCATCAAGTAGAAAAGGTTGCCATCAAATGGAGTATAGTCAGTTGTATGAACTGGAGGTCTGTTTATTATTTAGATGCATTCATTCATTTATTGACAACAGTGGTACAGGAATCATAGTGAGTATAGGGTTATGTTTTTCACTTAGGCTTTAGGGATCAAGAAAGATACTGGCAAGCACAATACAGACTTAAAAAGTACAATACAGACTTAAAAAGCACATGCATATTGGGGCTTGCCTTTTTCTCTTCCTGTTGGGAACCCTAAGACTTGCATAGAAGTCTGCTGAAGGAAGAGAAAAGAGAAAGGCAGTTTATTTTGCAGCAAAAGTTAATTGATAAAGAAGGGGATAGGAAAAATGTTATAGTACAGCTAGAGAAAACAGGAGGGGCAAAAACTCAGAAACAAGAAAATGTATCTTTAGTGAACAGCCAGAATTTCAATTTGGCTGCAGTATGGTATGGAGTGGAGAAGGACAAAAAATGAAAATAGTGAGGCAAAGTGGGATGATTGCAAGAAGCTAGGGCTTTATCTTCAGGGCAGTAGTGAGTTGCTGAAGTTTTAAGCAGGGGAGTGAAATGGTGGTTTTTACACCACATTATAGCATGGCAAATGGACTGGAGAGGCTAAAAAACTGTATTGCATGTCCTAGATTTTATGCTAAATTTTAAGATCCTTTGGAAAGTAGCAATTACATTGTCAAATTTTTAAAATCCTCCTTTGTTCTTTGTAATGTGCTGCAAAGAGCTTGACAAATGCTTGTGAAAATAAGAAATATCCTCACTGTGGGGCCCTCCCACACCTGTACATGCTTACATCACTATTAACAATTAAGATTTTTTCTTGAGGCTAGGATTTTTAAGACTCTAAGCATTTATATTATATTTCATTCATTAGTCCAGCAAGTGTCTTTTGGTGTCAGTTATGTGCCAGGTACTGTTCCGGACATAGGAGATACAGTAGGGACCAGGACAGATAAAAGACCCTTGTCCTCATGGAGATTATATTGAGGCACACCAAGTAGACGTTGATGGAGGTGAGGGAGAGTGCTTTTAGAAATGTGGTTATAGTCCCAATACAATTCCCACCCCCCCATTTTGATCCTACTCCCTCCTCCCCGCTACCCTCCGGAAGTGTGTCTCTGGTTAATAGTTGCTTGTTGATTTTGATTTTTACTTTATTATAATTAGTCTTTTTCCTGGTCCCTTATTTAGGTTTTCTAAATCCCTGCTATGAGTGAGACCATCTGGTATTTCTCTTTCTCTTTTTGGCTTATTTTGCTGAGCATGATCCCTTCCAGCTCCATCCATGTTGCTGCAAATTGCATGAGGACTATAACCAAGATGAAAATGCATACATTGTGCAAAAATGAAAAATGATGTAAAAAATATATAAAATTTAAAAAATAATAATAATAAAATTAATAAAAAATTATTTGGAAAAAAGAATAGAAATGGATCTTAATAAAAATATCAGAGAAACTCTTAAAAAAAAAAAAATGTGGTAAGCGAAGACCTGAAAGTCGGTGACATTAAAAGTGAGGGAGCAGGCCTGCCGAGTGTCTAGGCGATCATTCCAGCTAGTGATTAGCTAATATAAATCTCTGAGATGGAAGTAAACTTTTGTCCTTTGGAGACACAGAAAACAGGTCAGTGTGGTTAGAAAAGGGTAAGTGAAAGGAGGAGAAGTAGCAAAGTGAGACAGATGTGCAAAGACCAGATTATGCAAAACTGTGAGTTTGGGATTTATTTTTCCTTGAAAGAAAACCAGTGGAGAATTTTTAACAGCGGAGTATGATGATCTGGCAGTTGAAAAAAATCTTCAGTCTGTCTACTGTGTGAATACACTGCAGAGGTAGGGATGGAAGTAGAAGAGTGGGGATGGTGGGTGGTGGTTTGGACTGAGGTAGCAATGGAGAGGATAAAAAGGTGATTAGATTTGGATTGTATTTTGAAAGAATATACAAAGTTTGCTGATGGACTCAATGATGTTAAGGGAGTCAGGCATTCCTTGAGAGTTTAAGGCCTAAGTAATTGAGTAAGTAACACCATCATTTACTGAGGTAAGGAAGGTTGAGGGAAGAGCAAGTTTTAGGGGATGATATAAGATTTTGAGTTAGAATATGTTCATTTTGAGATATCACCTGTGGTAGCCAATCTCAGAGATGGCCCCAATGATCCCTACCTCCTGGTATTCATACCCTGTGCAGTACCCCAACCCCCCACACTCTTTACCAGGTATCCCCTGCACACATACTCACAGAATCTGGCCAGCAGAACGCGGAAGTGGTTTTGGTTTATTACTTTATAAAGATCAGGTTGTATAAGACATTGCAACTTCAGTTTTGGCTTCTCCCCCACCAACCCCGTCCCCCATCACTCACTCTGGAGGACGTCAGCTGCCATGACACAAGTAACCATGTGGACAGGCCCACATGGTGAGGAATTGAAAGCTTTTGGCAACAACCACGTGAGTAAACTTAGAAGTGGATTCTCCACAGCCTTCAGATGATTGCAATTTGAAGACAATTTCTCAGCAAAGTCACTCCTGGATTGCTGACCCTTGGAAACTGTGAGATAATTTTTGTTATTTTAAATTGCTATATTTGGGGGCAGTTTGTTACATGGCAAAAGATAACTATCGAATAATAGAATATCCAAAATAACAATACTCAGCTAATACAATACCAGCTTAAAATAAGTTTGGAGTTTAAGAAAGGGGCTCAAACATGTTCCGTAAATTGGGAAACTAGATATGGCCAGTATATAAGCCACCGGACATAGGACACCCCTAAAGAGTGACTGCATAGCAAAGAGAAGAGGTCTCGGTCTTAGTCTTTTAGGAGAGACGAAGAAGTAGCTATTGAGGTGGAAGGAAAACATGAAGTGTGATGTTCTAGAAGCCAAAAAAACAAAACAAAAAAAAAAAAATGGTTCAAGAAGGTGGGAGTTGATCATATAATAGTGTCAAATACTATTGAGACATCAAGTAAGGTGAGAACAACTGCCTATTGCATACATGTCTGCAGAGTAACAAATGTGTTCAGAGAGAGGTAAAAAGATTTCTAAGAAAGGAAGAGAAGTGACTTCCTGGAGGGAAGATAATCATCCCCTTGCACTGATGGGTACACTGAACACTTCTGCTCCGAGTAAGGGCAGTCTTGGTTGCAGTGCACTGTTCCTTGCCAGGAACTGGAGGGTAGTGTTAGGGTAGGATATGAAGAAAGCAAGAGCATGGAGCCATGGTGTAGTCTGTTTCAAGTCAACTGTAATCCTATATACTGCCCCATTCTTGCTACCAGCTTCTTCAGGGCTTGCAGGATAATAGATATGGCTTGATACTGAATAATGAGCTAATGAATGAATGTGTGCATTCATGCATGCTTCTCTATGGCAAAGAAATCTTCTGGTCTTTAATTTTGACCACTGGGGATCATGAAACCAGAACATTTCAGAAAGAATACTAGCTTCTGAAAGAACTGCTAGTGTTTTTCTAACTCTGAGAAGTAGAGCTTGGCACCCTCTTGTAAAAGTGGACTTGGCTACTTGAAATAAAAAAAGACAAAGCTAGTTCATGTCAGCACAGCTTCTAAGCCAGCACTTTTTCCCTTGGCAGTTTGGGATGTCTGACTGGTGGCCGTGGATAAACCCCCTCAAGTGAACAGTCCCACTTACTGCTGGGAACATTCCAGAGGTATGGCTATCATCAAGGAACGCAACTGAACTAAAGGTCCCTACTTAAGCCTTACTCAGAGATGACAGGAATGGGCCCAGTCTTTGACAGGGTTTGGGGTTGTGGTCCACTAGATGAAACCAGCCTGGGCATGTGGGGCCTAGAGCAGAGATAATACTCCTTCCTGTTGCTTTCCAGTTAAATGACCCTCTCTAAGAAAGTTAACATTTCTTGCCTATTAGGCTGAAAAAAAATGTTGCCTTTTGTGTATGTGTGTGCAGAGCAATGATAGAATATTTGTTTAAGTTTGCAGGTTTGTCTTCATTTTTGTCTCAAAATAAGGTGGCAAAAAGCTCTAGTGATAGACTTGTACACGCCGGCTCCTGCTGGAGGAGCAGCTCAGAACTGGTGAGTTGATTGATGGTGGTGCTTAGGCCTATGATAAAAAGTATTTCCTAAGAGGAAAAAAAAAATGTATCCACTGTATTAGTTTCCTAAGCTGCCTTAACAAAGTTTCCTAAGCTGCTATCACAAAGTAAGTGTTTAAAAAGGACAGGAATGTATTGTCTCTCAATTTTGGAGTCTACAAGTCCTCAGTCGAGGAATTGGCAGGATAATGCTCCCTCTGAAACCTGTAGGGTTGGTTTCTGCCTTGCCTTTTGCAAGCTTCTGGTTGCTGGCAATCCTTGGTGTTTAGCTCCCAATTACAGCACTTCATCCTGGTGGCAATGAGACAAAAAGACCCAGCTAAGTCATCAAGTCATCGGAGGACTTGGTCAATAATGGGAAGTGGGCAGTGAGAACAAGGAGGAGTCTTGGATGCCCAGTTCTGAATCCTGAGGGGACAGCTGCTCTGTTGTGAGAAGGAAGCACAAGCATGGAATTTGTGGCATGTAATCAGCCCCATCACAGCCACCTGCCAACACAGCAGCCCCCAAGAAAAATTGCTGCTCTGTCTGCACTCTAATATGACCTGCATCCTTCCCCTTACATGACATGCAGTAGGATGATACTACATAAGAAAATGCCCATGACTTAACAGCTCCAGTCTTACCACTTTGATAATGACCAGGAAGGAGCGAGATCACTGCTGCCACTTACCTTAAAGTGGCCTCCTCTAAATACATATTTGCTTATGTTAAAGATTTGTCAGGAAAGTGACATCAGCTCCCTCCAGGGGCCAGTCAGACCTAACTAGGTGATGGGACAGACATCAAAACTTCTGTAAGTTCTTCACCCATTTGACAGTTTGAGTAAATAATGACTTTTCAGTGCTATTTATTCACATTCTTCTTTCTCAGCTCTATTTTTGGCCCAGAACACTCTTTATTTTTGTCCGTGTTACATAATGAGGGAACTGCATTCTTAGTAACCCACTGTCACTCCTGTATTATCTTGCCTACATGAAAAAAAAGGAAATATTTTTAGAGTGTGAATTTCCCAAACGTTCTCAACTATCCTGGGTGAAGACATAATGTCATGGATGAGAACAAAAGTTGGCTTGACTGAGGCCAAACTCTGATCTTCAGAAGCTGGTCTGGGTCTCTTGCTGTCCTGCCCTGACCAAACAGCAGAAGGCTCCTCTCTATGCCAGGTTTTACATTTTTAATAGCCGATTCAGGAACACAGAAATAGGTTTTTTTAATTGTTAGTTTTTTATTTTCTTACATCGTTCTTAATTTTTGAACAATATTTGATTTTTCCCCTCTGGTATAGTCCCTGTTTTCCCACCACCATAGCACTCATTTCCATCACCATCATCCCTTGTTTTTTTTCCCTCCCCTGGTGTATGCCTCAGATCTATGGTCAGTTTGCAAGTTTTACCTTTTTCCTGACCTTTTGTTCAGTTTCTCTAATTCAGTTTCATATAAGTGAAACTGTCTAATATTTATCTTTTTCCTTTTGGCTTATTTCATTTAGCATAATACCTTCCAGCTCCATCCATGTTGCTGCAAATGGCATTATTTAATCTTTTTTGATTACTGAGTAGTACTCCATTGCATATATAATATATATGTATATAAATAAAATAATGGAGTATATATGCTACACCCCCACACACACCCACACACACACCCACACACCCATACACACACACAGATCTTCTTGATCATGCATATTGTGGGAGTTTCCACCAGGGGTGGGGAGGAAAGAGATTATTTGAAGAATTGCTGAATACTCCCCAAGTTTGAAGACTTGAATAAATATATCCATGAAGCTCAATGATACCTAGTATAGAACCATACTGAGACACATTCTGATCAAACCATTTAAAGTCAAAGTTGGAGAATCTTGAAAGTATCAAGAGAAAAGTGACTTATCAGAATCTTTGGAGACCAGAAGGCAGAATTGATAGACTAAAAATGCTGCAAGTATAAAAACTGAGAACCAAAAATTATACCTGCCAAAATTGTTCTTTAGAAATACTAATGGGAGTCCGTTAGGTTGAAATGAAAGGACACTAGACAGTAACTCAAATCACATGAATTAACTCAAATATCTGCAGTCAATATAAATTGTGGGCAATTTATAAAAGCTTTCATTATAACTCTAGTTTGTAATGGTCCTTTTCATTTTAGACATGATTTAAGACTAATGAATAAAAAAGGTATTAGTCTGTTTTGGTGCGCACACATGCACAAAGTTGTAATTTTGTGATTATCAGTAACTAAAGTAAGTTGGGGATGGAGCTGTAAAGAAACA